CAGCTGTAGTGAATGCACGAGGTGGACATACGCGCTACTGACTTGTTGGATCAATTTCGATTTTGGCTTCAAGGCAAAGTAAACCAACAGTGTTTCCATGAATTGACTGACATGTCCCAATCATCATGCAACAAGTGTTGATTGTTATTATGTACCTGTTTTCATGTATTATCTGTCAAAAGTAAAGTTTTTCAACATCTGGATTTTGACTTGCGTTTCTTTTGCGGTTCAGTATATGTACTGTCGGTCTTACAATCACTATATTTAGTCCAAAATTATTGTGATCATATTTCAATAATAAGTTGGTATCTACATCAATGTATGTACTGTCAGTCTTACAATCACTATATTTAGTCCAAAATTATTGTGATCATATTTCAATAATAAGTTGGTATCTACATCAATGTATACTGAACCACATAAAAAACGCAGGTTTTCCAAATGAATAAATAATATATTCGATAGAACATCGTTAAATATTATAGTGTTACTATACATTGGTTACCTTTGTTGTGAAAAAACAGTTTGTTAATGTTCAGGTTCTGTTTGGTGATTTCTCTTGGATATTGCAGATCGCCAAAACGCAGCAATTGAATTGGCCGTGGGATGTGGTTGCAGAAGTTTTCATGAAAATCATGATGCGCATTATGTAACGGTCACATAGGGGTATAAATATGCCCTCAAATCAGTTTGAAATCACTCCCGACAAACGCCCACCAAGAATGCCAAGGTTAACGACGCAACAAAGGGAACAAGCCATCGGCCGTCTTGAAGCTGGACAGAGTGTTGCAGATGTTGCCAATGCATTCCATGTGCACATAACGACCATCTACCGTCTTCAGGAACGTTTTGCTGCTACACAGACCACTGCTGACCGCCAACGTCCTGGACGTCCGAGAGTCACAACACCACGGCAAGATCGACACATTCAACGTTCGCACATCGGGGATCGATTCTTATCTGCCAACGAGACTGCCCGACAGACTATTGGACGTCACAACCGAGCAATAAGCGGAGATACAGTTCGGCGCAGACTCAGAGCAGTCCACCTCCGTTGTCGTCGTCCAGCTCGACGTCCGATCCTCACACCGAGACATCGTCAGAATCGTCTGCAGTGGGCTACGTTGCATCGAAACTGGCGTCATCAACAGTGGAGACTGGTATTGTTCACTGATGAAAGTCGGTTTTGCATTTCTCATGCTGACGGCCGAGTTCGAATATGGCGAAGACGAGGTGAACGCTTTGCTGACGAATGTGTAATGCAAGTTGATGCATGGGGAGGTCCGAGCGTTATGGTATGGGCAGCGATTGGCCTGAATCAGAGATTAGGGCCAGTGTTCTTCCAGAATATTGGGCCAGGTCGGGGAAATGGAGTCACTGCCCAACGTTATATCGACCAGATCCTCCAACCCCAGGTTGTGCCATTTTTCGTCCGACACCAGCAACACATTTTCCAGCAAGATAATGCCAGGCCCCACACTGCTAGAGTCACTCAGGCATTTTTCCAGCAGCATAACATCCGACTCCTGCCATGGCCTGCTGTCAGTCCCGATTTAAACCCGATCGAACATTTTTGGGACGAGCTGCAGAGACGACAGAATGAAGTCCGACCACGTCCGACAACTGCAGCAGAACTCCAGGCAGCCATCATCCGGACATGTGCGGCAATCCCTAGGGCCTTTGTCAACCGTCTGATTCACTCCATGTTCAGGCGGTGCACAGCTGTAGTGAATGCACGAGGTGGACATACGCGCTACTGACTTGTTGGATCAATTTCGATTTTGTCTTCAAGGCAAAGTAAACCAACAGTGTTTCCATGCATTGACTGACATGTCCCAATCATCATGCAACAAGTGTTGATTGTTATTATGTACCTGTTTTCATGTATTATCTGTCAAAAGTAAAGTTTTTCAACATCTGGATTTTGACTTGCGTTTCTTTCGCGGTTCAGTATATGTACTGTCGGTCTTACAATCACTATATTTAGTCCAAAATTATTGTGATCATATTTCAATAATAAGTTGGTATCTACATCAATGTATGTACTGTCAGTCTTACAATCACTATATTTAGTCCAAAATTACTGTGATCATATTTCAATAATAAGTTGGTATCTACATCAATGTATGTACTGAACCACTTACAAAACGCAGGTTTAGTCCAAATGAATAAATATTCGATAATAACATTTTACAAATATTATAGTGTTAATCTATATTTAGTCATTGTGATCATATTTCAATAATAAGTTGGTATCTACATCAATGTATGTACTGTCAGTCTTACATAAGTTGAGTATTTACATCAATATTTTATCAAACAATCACCAAAACATTTATAGATTTCTGAAGATAAAGTAAACGACGTGCTGTCCACGTAGCTGACCGTCACATATCAGTCACTCTGAATTATGCAACTCATTCAAGCTGCATCTGCTAGGGTTATGCCCCAGGCTGTAACATGCTGTGCATGTCCGGGCGCATCGTCGACGTCATTGCTGACTAGTATAGATAATGTCAGATACGTAGTGATATAAATGATTTTAAGTGGTCAGTGCACTCCATGACACAGTGACTAATTGCAATATGATATACGTTAGCTAGAATAAGATATAATATATCCATGTCTAGTATCATACACAATTTAATTTGCAATTGTATTACTGCATTATCAGTTACGTGCAAACCCGTCATTTAAAGTCTGCCAGCTTAATCGTTCAACGTTTGCCTAAATAACAATACAGCTGTTATGTTGCTAGTGTTATATTTAATTCTAATACATTTACAGTATACAGTAAATGACTATCTATTATTGTTTGAAAACTCTCTCTATATGTAATTACGACTCTAATTAAAGGACTCAGCAGCCTTCTCTTAGTTTTTAAGGTGATGGCCGAGTAGTCAGCTCTGCCAAGTTAATTCCCCTCAATATCTTGTCGTCATTGTGACGTAGCCCACTCGTCAACCTACACCAGACAGAAGCTACGTCAATACAAAAACGTACTCGAGTAAACCACCAGACATTGTGTTCTCTTCCTTTATGACCTCTAGAAATTATACCGATCGTTTATATCTGTCATTATATTTTAAGCATGCAAAAATCTTAAGAAATAAGGTGTTGAAAAATATTGTTTATCCAAGTTGATGTAATACTGCATGTAACATCAAATTGTGTAAGTTACTGTTTATTTTGTTTACTCTGTATGTGTTCCTGAGGCCGAGAATACAACAAACATCTTTTTCTTCATCTTTATCGTCTTCATCATCTTCATTTTCTTCTTGCCTAGTGCTTAAAGCGTTGGCTCGTCACGCCGAAGCCCGGGTTCGAATCCCCACATGGTACAATGTGTGAAGTCCATTTCTGGTGTCCCCCGCCCTGATGTTGCTGGAATATTGGTAAAAGCGGCGTAAAACCAAACTCAGTCAGTCAGTCAGTCATTTTCTTCTTCGTGATGTCACTGGAATGTCTTGTCCAGACTTGATTATTTACAGACCACTGTTAATGAGCTGGAATATTGCTGATTGCAGTGATAAAAACAAACGGATATACCGACATGTTCATCGCAGTACCATAGCAGTTGTCAGTCTTGTTCGTGCCTCATATATTTAGACACCTAGACACGATGTTCACACGGCAGTGAGATTAAATGTATAACACGAGAACACGTGAAATACCGGTTTTACGAACCACGTATCAACAAAATGTAATATAATATATCAAAGTGTATTTCACAAAGTATTTCCAGAGCGAGAGCATGGTGAATATAAAGTGAAGACCTACCAAAGACATTATTAATGACGTCATTTAAACATGACGTCATAACACTGTTATAGTACGTCATGTCATGTTGATGGCGCATTGCTGACTGCGGCCTAAAACAACAAACAGTAAGAAAACGTAAATGTCTGTTCAATGGTTCACCTGGGAGATCTTGATTCACGTGCTGGCACTCACTCACTTACTCATTCTATTTCTCTCAACCACCCACCCATCCACTCAATCGCTCTCAACCAAAAAAGCTCACTCTCAATCAATCACTGCAGCTGTAGCATAAAACCATAGACTTGCATGTTAATTAACTCTTGCAAGAATAATTTTCATAAATTTAGTTTCGGTCGAATTGCTTTCAATACTTATCTACCAGCTGGGAAATCATCTCAGCTACAAACACATAATTTCCATTCAATTTTCCTATGATTATTAAGAAAACTGCAACTATTTAAACAACATATATTAAACATACCAATCAGGTTTAACATGGCTGTCTATGTGATACGCGTAGATTAAAATTAAGTTGTACTTATGGTGCTTAATCAGGTGTCATTCGATAACTAATCAACGGAAAGATGAAAGAAAATTATGTACACGTAGCTGAAGATGATTTCCAAAATGTTTTGCAAAATATCAAAATAAAATTACTTCTACTCAATTCATGAAAATTATTCTTGCAACAGTTAATTAACATGTAAGTCTATGGAAATTTCACTAATGATAACTCACTTGTGGTTTAACTACTGTAGTTTCATCTGAAAATGTTAAATGATGCAACAGGAGATCGTAACTGTACAATATTCATCAACATAAAAATAGCGTGGTTTACTTTTACTTGCTTGACAACTCGCCATGTCTAAACGTATCAAACATATGTGTAACAGGTTACGAGAAGTTTGTTTTCCATTACAAGTTCTGTTTGATTATCCTGGAAGTCGGTGTCTTTAAAACCGAATAATTACCTCACCCCGTTACTTAAAAATGACACAGATTTACACTTCCTGTACCATACTGTTTGAGGTTATCCGAATAATAAAGCCTATGTTTGAAAACAGAGTGTCACATTTAGTGTTTTGAAGGAGTGTTTACATCTGAAGACCAAAACAAACGCATGTCAGCCGGTACGAATTCAGGATGGGCGCGAAAACCACCTTATTAATATTCATAAATCTATGACCAATGAAAAAATCGCAAGAAAACCTCACGATAATTCGCAGCCAATCAGCGAAATGTTGTCGTCAGCCCCTATAACCGGGAGAAAATGGCGTCAGAAAGCGTGAGTAGTCTCATTACAAATTTACTATAACGGTTTCAACTCAGGTTGATGGTTATGTAGCCATTTAAAGTACTTGAGATTTACTGAATTGGAAGTGAGACCGTGGCTGTATACGCTAGTTCATTTATGCTAATTGCAACTGTCACTTTTTGAAAGTCTGGCTGTTCGCCAAACGACCCGATTAGTTTTACTACGCTTTTCAAACTTTTTACTACAAAGCGTGTCGGCTCACCTGTCCAAACTTACAGATAGCTGTGGTCTATTTAGCTCACCGACACATTACAACTGACCGTTTTAAAGTCCCATTAGCTGCTTAACAGTGATTGTAGTTCATCCACGGTTATTTTGACCTGATTTAAAGCGCGCAAGCTTGATTTAAACGCCTGTCTCGGTTTAGGTTGTATTTGACCGGCTAGGCTTTGGGTCAATGCATCTCAGTGAGACGGACCAGCCAAGTTTGAATATATGGTTAGACGCTTCTCTTGGCGCTCAAACAATGAGCGTAGGTTATGTGATATACCAAATATACATACACCAGACACTCCACATGCAGGTTACACTTTTGCATTTACCGCCGACACACGGCGTACATTTCCCCTCCCAGGGTTAGTTGTGCGATCAGCTGGACAGTCTATAAATAAGAGTGTAACATGTGAGCGAAACTAGCGAGTTTTATAAAGTTGTGCAAAGTAGAGATTGGGATGTTGTGGTGTATTTCGCCGTGATGTGAGTTCAGCCCGATTTTAGTACATGTTTATCACGTGGTGTGTGCACTTCTCGGCACACACACAACGAATGAGTCATCTGAAAAAGTTACACAGTTTGACCAAATGACGTTGCATCATATCTTTTTATATTTACCCGGCACTCAATATGACAGTTTTCATCAGCATTCCCATAATGACTAATGGAAGAACGTGAACTAAGTTTATGATATTTTTCACCAAATGAACCATTTTCAAGTTTATATATGATTTTATTGATATATGTGAATTATAACACTGAAACATATTTGATTCGTTTAACCTTGAATATCTGTTCATCTAGCCATTGTATAATGTGAACGATATTGTTACAGCGGGTTGTGTTATCCGACACTAACGCACGGGATATTTTATCACGTAACAATGTTTATAACCTTTGGTACAAAGTAGGGCGCGTATAGTGATAACAGTATTACCTTCTGTGATATTGGTCAATTCTGCTCATTGTTACAATTACGGTCTGAAAATATATTTTGTCATCCTCAAGCCCCACCCACACCCGCTTCCATGTGGCACATTGAAATATCACACACTCACACACACTCAGAGAGAGAGAGAGAGAGAGAGAGAGAGAGAGAGAGAGAGAGAGAGAGAGAGAGAGAGAGAGAGAGAGAGAGAGAGAGAGAGAGAGAGAGAGAGAGAGAGAGAGAGAGAGAGAGAGAGAGAATACTTGTATATGAATACTTATTCGTAACGATTATAATAAATAATGATGAATAGGAGAATAGGATGGGTATCGACTTTGAATAAATTATGTAAGTTTATATATCTCTTGCTTACATTCAGGTAGAGTGTTTACGAGGGCGCAAGCTGGCCAAAGATTGTAGACTGCATTTGCTGTTCACCTTTGTATGAATTCCTTTTGACACGATATTAGCCCACAAAATTGAATGTTTAATGACATTATTGGTCCCAGAATTAGGTACATGTATAATATGATGAAGAAAATATAAGGGTCGTGAATATTGTGAAAATTGTGGGTAAAAATCCATGAAAATATGTGATCAGTCTTCACTACAAACAAATATCTCCGAAATTACTCACGATAAGATGAGACCTAAACGAATGACATAAGACCCCATTCCGGAACCTCCGGAACTGTTGCCAGTGTAAAAGTTTAAGTAAATTTATGAAGATCATGCAAGAATATACATATTAAAAACAGCATTTGTCTTTTTTTGTCAGATATCATGTTTATCTCGTGGCGTAACCTGACAGAGTTGACATTTAACTCTGGGCAGCACCACTCACGAACATATCTACTTTGTCCACGTCACGGGATGTGATACTCACACTATTTGTCTAAAAACGCCAGGTGCCCTCATGATGTACAGTGTATAAGGAGACCCCCACAATTCTAGGCACGAAGTACACTTTACCCAGCTAGAACGGTGCAAATCTGACAACTGTACCATTCACACCAGCTATATGTTCATTAAACACAATAAATTAAATGTAATAAGTGACACGCACTGAATATTCCATAATGATTCTAGCACCAGTGCACCTTAGTTGGTCAGTCCTCATTATGTTAATCTATCAAAAAGCTGCCTACGAATTATTCATTTCGTTTCAAAAGAATTTTGAAAACATGCAATAACTATTTATTTGTGGCATTTCAAAATATTCTTTTCATTCGTTTTCACACAGTGCTCGCTGTTATGAAAGATTTGCTTAGTTTGCAGTGAATCTCATAATAGAAACGTTTGTTGAGTGTGGTACATAGTCTGTTGTTAACACCACCATATGTCGCCTTTTGTGCTGTTTCGTTAATGACAGCAGACATGCAGCATATGATTTAATTAACATAAATAAAAAGTAGTCTGTGAATATAACACAGAACTACACAGTAAACATGTGCAGGCGGTTTTTTTCAAGGTCACGTTGTATATAATGATAAATATATATTAGTGGCACCGTTAAACAGCGAATTAAGGGTTTAAAAATTGTTTAAAACGTGGGATGAGATGGTGACTGTAATCCCTTCCAAAGGGAGATTGTGTTTCTTTTCATCAAGTCCACGTGAGTCTTAATCGATCCGTTTTAAGATCGGTTATATATTCTAGTCGACATAACTGGTTACAGATACTGAAAGATGTGTGATTCTTTTGTTCCGGGAGACGTATTAATTCATTGCTTTTATGCACGACACATTCAAGTTATTTATATTGATATGTTTTCATCATGTTTCTATTTATAAAGCAATTTGTTTTGGGGCGTTTTAGCATTTCTTTTTATGTATATCACAACTGTCACTTTTATAAGACAAACACAACAGAGCGTTGTCTACACCTATATATCTACCCCCCGCAAACCCCATGGAATAACGATTTCCGGTCATATTACAATTAAACTATTAAATGCTTCCAGCTTTCAAAATGTTAATAGGTCCAGAATGCAAATTTCTATTACCCTGTGACCTACTTAATTAAGAAACAAATCACACTTCATTACAAAATATCGCCTCGGGCTAAACATAGAACTATCTTCATATCCGGGAGGCCAGGCAGATAAGTGCATATGCAAACTACATACGTGTATGGATGACTTAATTAAAATCAGAATCAAATATTCCGTGAGGAAACCATATGAATAAATCCGATAACATCTCTTCTTGTATGCCAGTGAAGGAAAACGCTGTTTACACCGACTGTTGTGATAATAGCGTATAGCCATTGGCGATACGATACACTGGGATATGCATACATCACAAAACTTCGTATATTCGCCGTCTATAGGACGTATTTATTTTCGATTAACCAGCGATATACATTTTTTTTGTAGTCCGCTATACCTGAATATACAGCATGCATTTGTTTTGATTTCATAGACAGACCATGCCTGCAATAATAGGCCATGGGACCGTAATGCATAATACAGTGCAGCATGCATTTATACAGACTCCCAATACAGAATATGGACTTTGTCTTATCTGTTCTTGTCAATAGGAATACAGAAAATGAATATATCTAAAATTATTTTAGAATGTTTTATTTAATTTTGGGTTACATGTATATTGGAAAGGGGATCATGGATTCTCCATTTTTCACAGCTGAAACTATATAGGTTTTCAGCAATCTTGACCATTCAAACTATTACGGACTTGCGGAGGGTTGCGGATGTTTTTGTTTCAGGATCGGTATGAGAGACGCTTTTGGAAATTGTAATGAATTAAGATTTCATTTTAGACATTTAAATTTGTTTAACAATAATAAGTATAAAGCTTTTTAGCGGCTTTACAAACTGGAATGGGCCGGTCTAATATTGACGTGTTCAGTTTGTGATGAAGAAGTGTCAGGAAAGAAATAACCTTCTTAAAAGGTCACAATGACATGGCTACTTCGATGCGCGAATTCTTTCACTACAGTTTTCTGATATTATTTCTACAGACATGTTAAAAGAACCACCGCAGCTTGTACATCGATATCCAGTAACACGGAAACGTTTTTAATTAACAAAATAAAAAAAGGTTCACATTCTCTCAGGATGGAGGGGTGGAGTTGGGAAAACGCCCCCACGTGAAGACGCATCGGATGCAAGAGTTCCTCACCACCCAGCGGCAGGGGGACGGGGGTAGTCACAAGGTGCGATATTGTACGGAACCCGGATGTAAAAAATCGTTCACCAGTGCCCCGGGATTGAGGTACCACATTAGGTCCCACAACAAGGATGTGAAAACGTTCCTGTGCTCCAGATGCAAGAAGACATTTAAAAGGTGAGTATGAAAACGGTTGGAGTGGAACGCAGAAACCGGTGTTGTAAGTAAATTTTTTAAAAATAATTTAATTTGCCATTAATCAAATTAACCATTCAGACGTTATGGGCCTGTATAGGTTTTTCTGGAAAATGTTTAAAAACACCACAACAAGTATTAAATGAACCATTCACACGTAGAACGCATGGGTTGTTCTGGAAAATATTTAAAAGCATATAAATATAATATATACTGGATAATGTTTCTACACAATAACAGTTTATGAATAAATAACTCGCGGATGTAAAATACCTGTATAGGTGTCCTTGAAAATGTATTTAAAAAACAATAATGATAGAATAATTTGTAAATAAACATTCAGTCCTAGCATGCCTGTGAAGTTGTCCTGAAAAAAATGTAAAACAAATTAACCCAAATTACGTAACATAGTACATGTAAATGGTGTCGGCTTCCGAAGATGTATTATTAAACATCATGGCCCATTGACGTGCTTTGTCATACATTATACATACAATAGTAGGCAGAACAACGTCCGTTTTACGTATGTGGAATTTTAATACAGAAAAGAACATTTTGTTGTTGAAGGCTGAAGGTTATATGCAGTGTTTCAGCTGGGGCAGATTGGGCCTGTCCGGGTCCCTGCAGGTCCGTGATAGGACTTAAGATGACAAATATGTAATGGAGTTGGAGTCAATGGAGTTTTATTAGATAAGGCGCCAAGCAGACCATCATTTTACCTATAGATGGAAACCCTTATTCGGGAGGGTGACACTTTCGTTCGGATCAGTACATTTCCAGATTGACAAATAGTAGTTTATATGGAGTTGTGTCCCTTTGTTGCCGTTCACAACAGTAATCGTCCGATAGACGGTATTTCTTGATTAGCAGGGTCCGCCTTTAGTGAGCGTGATTTTTCACATCATCATCATCATTATTATTTTTCTATTATTACTGTTACTATTTTCAGACACACCCATTCCTATTATTGATGTAATAAAATTAATATGAAATTATTCATTGACATTAACACACTGCAATTAATGACAGATTAATTGATCCTCGTGCGTTGATAGAATACAATCTGAATAAGATACACACTGTATGTATATGTACATGGGTCAAGGCTGAAATTAAATAGTTAAAAACCGTGGTATATAGGGTCTACAGGACTATTATCTGTTTTTTTTATTGAGCAATTAAGTTCATTGTCTGTCATGTTAAACTCACCTCTATGTGAAAACAAGCACCTGCTCTGTTGTAAACATGAAGGCAGACAGGTGAGATATTATTAATTTATGTAATTAAACCATCGTAGGAGTGCTGTTTAAGTAGTATATGACCTGCCTTGACATAGTGAGATTTACGGGATGACAGGGTCACCGAATTTACAGTGCACGTGGATGTACATCGCTAAGTCTAGACTACCACGGGAAATAACCTTCAAAGCACCTGGTAATTTGTTAATCATCCCGCCAGCATACGTTGACGTACATATCGATACATGTATATGATGAAACTGTGAATATTCCTTTTGTAACGTATGACTATTTAGAGTTCCAGACATATTTATATTCATTCTTCGTAATGTAAGAAAGTGTTTTGGTATTAAAATGTAAGTATTATTTATTCATTTATTTATATTCCAGTTTCATTAATTCACTGTTCATGTGCGCAAAAGAAAATAATGTATTAATACAAAGTAGTGAATTAATAAACGCGGCTGACAATTCTTTTTTGTTCCATGGGAAACATTAGACTAACATGAAGTCTCATAAATCATTATCTTTTAAAGAAAAAGTCAAGTTTTAAATTATCATAATAAAATAATATAAAACCATCTAAGAGAGTATGTTAATTTTCATGAACTGCAGTAACCTAGGAATATTTTAGACTAACATGGGCTGTATAAGATATATTTGATTCATGGTCTGTACGACAGCCTGAGAGTGAGTGAGTTTTGTTTTACGCCGCACTCAGCAATATTCCAGCTATATGGCGGCGTACTGTAAATAATAGAGTCTGGACCAGACAATCCAGTGATCAACAGCATGGGCATCGATCTGCCCAATTGGGAACCGATGACATGTGTCAACCAAGTCAGCGAGCCCGACCACCCGGTGGCAGCCCGAGAACAATGTTTGGCAAAATACATATATAAAGCTGTCTGATGAGACATTTACTTAATTTCAACATTTAAAAATTATTTCTTATATTTGGGAAATCAATTGAACTATGACAAGAATGTTTTGTATGATATGACTTCTTTATGCCCTTTTGAAAGAGAAGAACCTGCTTGGCGTGTCCTTTTGTTGTGTTGTGTGGAGTCCACGCCTCGTTCCGTGCGAGTTTACCATATGTTCAAAACATCTTTGATACGTGTTGGCAGCGTTCAAAACTGACATTTTATTTACAAGTAGCGTTATGTCACTCGATTGGCATCTTCAATTATCAGCAGTTTTGCCTTTTGACACTTTATAAAGATGACTGCTTTCTCAGTCGTGCTCTTCCTTTTCTCTCAGCGAGCCATGTTGTGGTTCTTATGCATTTGTGCTCCAGCACTGAGTTTTGACGTTTAAGCTAAGACCCGAAGGATCGTCAATATTATTATAAGTACTGATAAGTACGTATACCGAACTTTGTCTTATCTGCGTGCCTGAACAAAGAAGTGAACAGTCTTTAGTTTACAGGTGGGAGAATTGGGATCCTTTAATGAAATTTTCTCTGAATAATGTTAAAATTTCATTTAACAAAATTGGAAGCTTATAAGAAATATAATATTTCACGTGTCCAGTGAACTATGATGTGTATGTCATCTCGATACATGAAGAACGTCACATTTTCACAAGTGAAAGATCCGGGTTTGACAGCAACCCAAGCTTGTAAGAGGCGACACATGTCATTGTATCCCAATTGATGCTCATGCTGTTGATCACTGGATTGTCTGGTCCAAATTCGATTATTTACAGACTGTCGCCATATATAGCTGGAATATTGCTGACTGCGGCGTTAAACAACAAACTAACCAAACGCTCATGATTACAGGTACACCATATTTCACTAGACACGTGTAATACCCTCTATTTGCCGTTTCAGCAACAACGGTCTCAAGTATCACCAGAAGAACACCAAATGCGAGGAATCCTCTGAGTTCCCCACCAGTGAGACTGATGACCAAGATGAACATGGTAAAGTTTTGTCAGTTTTCACATGTACTTGTCCTGCCATTGTATGTATGAGTTCGTTGTTTAAAAGCATTTCAGCACGACGCGGGACACCGGAAATGGGCTTTACACATTGTGCCTTTGTGGGAATCGAACTCGGCCTTTCGAGTGAACTAGACTACCCCTCCGCCCGCCATTGTACAGTTGACTGTGTTTATAACGAACACGCTTATATCGACTGACTGACTGAGTTTTGGTGCTACGCCGCTTTTAGCAATATTCCAGCAACATCACCGCAGGGGACACCAGAAATGGGCTTCACACATTGTACCCATGTGGGAATTCGAACCCGGGTCCTCGGCGTGACGAGCCCAACGCTTTAACCACTAGGCTACCCAACCGCCCCTCGCTTATATCGAACTGATGGATATAATATTTTTTTGTGGCCCCGACACTTGCTGTATATTGATGTCCAAATGCCTATAATGAGCTACAAATATAACGAACTACAGTAAAGGTGAGGTGAAATTGGGTTTAACGTCGTGCTGGAGAATATTTCGCTCATATGACGACGTGCATGCGTGTGTGTGTATGTACTGTGTATGGCTGCTTGTACTAGCCCAGACTTAAGCTGGTTTTATAGTGCTAGCCCACTGAGATACCATGCTGCAGTGAAGCATGAATACCCCACTCAGACACATTATACTGACTCCGAGCCGACCAGTCCTTGATGTACCCATTAAAGCCGAGCGCTAGGCAGGGACCAACAAGTACCATATTTTATCGTCTTTTGGTAAGACGCGGTCGGGGATCGAACCCGCGACCTTCCGCTCTCCAGGCGGACGCTCTAACCACTACACCACGGAGGCGATCACTACTGTATAGTGGTCATTTCACTTGGTTATAGTGTATAGGGTACTGTAAACGTAGTACAACCTATTTGTATGGAAGTAGCAACAGTTTTCGCAGCGTGTACATTACGAAATGGAGCAAACGTAAGACGATTTGTATTCAGTCTATGGTGCTAGTCTGATTGTACTGGAACCATAGTTCCTGTACAGGGCAGACCCAAACACGAAATTCATAATATCCTTTTCAAAAATAGTACAGCTATTATACCGACATAAAGAGGTTCTGGGGTCCAGTTCCACTCAAAGATTTGGTACATTTGGGCAGAGACCATATACCGATATTTGATCTCGGATTTGGGCTGGGCGCACCGCTGAATCAGTTATGTCATGCGCCGCTTTTTCTCTATACAGAGTTGCGTCCCTTTGATGGGTCACAACTCTATAAGATCGGGCTCTCAAATCCCAGATTCGCTTGATTATATTTCAAGTTTGTCGTCACCATATCCGAGCTCGTGGGTTCAACCAGGATGGTAAATAACTGAGACCTCGTGATTTTCTCTCAAATCAAACAACCACGAGATAATGTAAAAACCGGCGATAAACCTCACTCACACTCACTCACATATGGGTTAAAGAAAATACCTTCTCATTCTCCAATGGTGAATGTCGTTCCTGGGATATAAAACATGCTCTAGTCGCACGGGCACATCTTGCTACTAATTTATATACATGCCACGACACTCTGGCCGTGATAGGAATACCTGAAGCCGAGAACTTGGCAGGTAGCCATAGAGGTGGTCACGTGACCTGTTTTCTTCCCATTCACTTTAAGTTGTATCATTCACAACGGTATGGGTCATAGGCCTGAGCTCCGTTTTCTTAATGGATAGAAAGATGTGGTGTTATTTCATGTGGGTATATTACTCATATACGATTAACCAGATTCTGAGATGTTTGTCTTGGAAGGAGTTATATTGTTATATTTGCCCTGTTCTCCTCTATGCCGTCCGTCTCCAGGTGATTTTGTTTAAACCATCGACTAGTTACTCGCAAGTTATCATTCACAGTGGGCTTGATAGTTTGATATAACTTCCCTAATTTGGGCCCTGTCTTCCTGTACTTCCCGAATGTGTAGCGAGATGTATCGCTTTTTCATACATTATTAAGCGCAGTTGAATTCAGATCCATGTGATGTCTGTACAGAAAACAGAGATCTGCAAAGAAACATAGAGGCACGCTAAGAGAATACATTGGGTACTTACAGGAGTTAGTTAGTGAGTTTAGTTTTACGCCGCTTTTAGCAATAGTATTCCAGCAATATCACTGTGGGGACACCAGAAATGAGCTTCGCCCATTGTACACATATGTGGAATCGAACCCGGGCCTTGGCGTGACGAGCGAAGGCTTAAACGACTAGGCTACCCCACGTCCCCTGCAGCGCCTCAGACACCTACATCTAACATTACATTATAAAGTAAAGATCATTTTCCCCGCTGTGATACACTTTGATTTCAGGTCCTGTGGTTCAAGATGATTTTCCCCACTGTGATACACTTTGGTTTCAGGTCCTGTGGTTCAAGATGATTTTCCCCACTGTGATACACTTTGATTTCAGGTCCTGTTGTTCAAGATGATTTTCCCCGGCTGTGATACACTTTGGTTTCAGGTCCTGTGGTTCAAGATGATTTTCCCCTCTGTGATACACTTTGATTTCAGGTCCTGTGGTTCAAGATGATTTTCCCCACTGTGATACACTTTGGTTTCAGGTCCTGTGGTTCAAGATGATTTTCCCCGACTGTGATACACTTTGGTTTCAGGTCCTGTGGTTCAAGATGATTTTCCCCACTGTGATACACTTTGATTTCAGGTCCTGTGGTTCAAGATGATTTTCCCCGCTATGATACACTTTGGTTTCAGGTTCTGTGGTTTAAGATCATTTTCCCCGCTGTGATACACTTTGGTTTCAGGTCCTGTGGTACAAGATGATTTTTCCGGCTGTGATACACTTTGGTTTCAGGTCCTGTGGTTCAAGATCATTTTCCCAGCTGTGATACACTTTGGTTTCAGGCCCTGTGGTACAAGATGATTTTCCCCACTGTGATACACTTTGATTTCAGGTCCTGTGGTTCAAGATCAATTCCCCCGCTGTGATACACTTTGTTCCAGGTCCTGTGGTACAAGATGATTTTCCCCACTGTGATACACTTTGATTTCAGGTCCTGTGGTTCAAGGTGCTTTTCCCCGCTGTGATACACTTTAATTTCAGGTCCTGTGGTTCAAGATGCTTTTCCCCACTGTGATACACTTTGATTTCAGGTCCTGTGGTTCAAGATGCTTTTCCCCGCTGTGATACACTTTGATTTCAGGTCCTGTGGTTCAAGATGCTTTTCCCCACTGTGATACACTTTGATTTCAGGTCCTGTGGTTCAATATGCTTTTCCACGCTGTGATACACTTTGAATCTGGTCCTGTGGTTCAAGATGATTTTCCCCACTGTGATACACTTTGATTTCAGGTCCTGTGGTTCAAGATGCTTTTCCCCGCTGTGATACACTTTGATTTCAGGTCCTGTGGTTTATGCTTTTCCACGCTGTCCTGAATGGTCCTGTGGTTCAAGATGATTTTCCCCACTGTGATACACTTTGATTTCAGGTCCTGTGGTTCAAGATGCTTTTCCCTGGCTGTGATACACTTTGATTTCTGGTCCTGTGGTTCAAGATCACTTTGATTTCAGGTCCTGTGGTTCAAGATTTTTTTACCCTTTGGTTTCAGGTCCTGTGGTTCAAGATTATTTTCCCCGCTGTGATACACTTTGGTTTCAGGTCCTGTGGTTCAAGATGCTTTTCCCCACTGTGATACACTTTGATTTCTGCTCCTGTGGTTCAAGATCATTTTCCCAGCAGTGATACACTTTGGTTTCAGGTCCTGTGGTTCAAGATGATTTTCCCCACTGTGATACACTTTGGTTTCAGGTCCTGTGGCTCAAGATTTTTTTTGCCGCCGTGATATTGCTAGAATATTGCTAACAGCAGCCTGTCAACTCATTCACTCACTCTAGAATATTTCGCCGTGATATTGCTGACATTGCTAACAGCAGCGTCAACTCATTCACTCACTCTAGAATATTTCGATGAAATGGTGACATGCCGATGTGGGTCTGCCTGTACCTGTCTGGATGTGTACTAGTTTTAAAGTGCTAGCCACTGAAATACCATGCCACTGTTAAATGTGCAAACCCTGCTCAGACACAGTAGTATACTGTCTCCAGCACTTGTCCTGTCACCTTAACGCTGAGGACAATGCAGGAAGACAATGTAGCCATTGTATCTTCTGTAACTGTAGAAGGTGGCAGACACTGCTGAATAATGAATGTTAATTGAAATGTTTATGTTGATGCAGATGGGAAGTGTGATACTGTTCAGCCCCTTCCAGACCCACAGAGTCGTCTTGACCCGGAGTTTGATGGGATGGACAACCTCCGAGAGCTGGCCATCATTGCAACAGGACCACAGAGCCCCCTTCTGAGGAAGAGCGCCCCCATGCCCTGGGACAAACCCAGGTGAGTGGACAGTCTAGTATCATATATCACCTGTAGAAGGGTTGATAGAGAGTCCCCTTCTGAGGCTGAGCACCCATGCCCTGGGACAAACCCAGGTGAGTTGACAGTCTAATATCATGTATCACCTGTAGAAGGGTTGATAGAGAGTCCCCTTCTGAGGCTGAGCACCCATGCCCTGGGACAAATCCAGGTGAGTGGACAGTCTACTGTCACTGTATCACCTGTCAAGGGTTGATAGAGAGCCCCTTCTGAGGCTGAGCGCCCCATGCCCTGGGACAAACCCAGGTCACCTGTAGAAGGGTTGATAGAGAGCCCTGGGGACCCTTCTGAGGCTGAGCACCCCTTCTGATGCCCTGGGACAAACCAGGTGAGTGGACAGTCTACTGTCATGTATCACCTGTAGAAGGGTTGATAGAGAGTCCCCTTCTGAGGCTGAGCACCCCCATGCCCTGGGACAAACCCAGGTGAGTTGACAGTCTACTGTCATGTATCACCTGTAGAAGGGTTGATAGAGAGCCCCCTTCTGAGGCTGAGCACCCATGCCCTGGGACAAACCCAGGTGAGTTGACAGTCTAGTATCATGTATCACCTGTAGAAGGGTTGATAGAGAGTCCCCTTCTGAGGCTGAGCACCCATGCCCTGGGACAAACCCAGGTGAGTGGACAGTCTACTGTCATGTATCACCTGTAGAAGGGTTGATAGAGAGCCCCCTTCTGAGGCTGAGCACCCCCATGCCCTGGGACAAACCCAGGTGAGTTGACAGTCTACTGTCATGTATCACCTGTAGAAGGGTTGATAGAGAGCCCCTTCTGAGGCTGAGCACCCATGCCCTGGGACAAACCCAGGTGAGTGACAGTCTACTGTGACAGGTGAGTTGGACAGTCTACTGTGATGTATCACTATCACCTGTAGAAGGGTTGATAGAGAGTCCCCTTCTGAGGCTGAGCACCCATGCCCTGGGACAAACCCAGGTGAGTGGACAGTCTACTGTCATATCACCTGTAGAAGGGTTGATAGAGAGGCTGAGCCCCCCATTCTGAGGCTGAGCACCCATGCCCTGGGACAAACCCAGGTGAGTGGACAGTCTAGTATCATATATCACCTGTAGAAGGGTTGATAGAGAGTCCCCTTCTGAGGAAGAGCGCCCCCATGCCCTGGGACAAACCCAGGTGAGTGGACAGTCTAGTATCATATATCACCTGTAGAAGGGTTGATAGAGAGTCCCCTTCTGAGGCTGAGCACCCATGCCCTGGGACAAACCCAGGTGAGTGGACAGTCTAGTATCATATATCACCTGTAGAAGGGTTGATAGAGAGTCCCCTTCTGAGGCTGAGCACCCATGCCCTGGGACAAACCCAGGTGAGTGGACAGTCTACTGTCATGTATCACCTGTAGAAGGGTTGATAGAGAGTCCCCTTCTGAGGCTGAGCACCCATGCCCTGGGACAAACCCAGGTGAGTTGACAGTCTACTGTCATGTATCACCTGTAGAAGGGTTGATAGAGAGCCCCTTCTGAGGCTGAGCACCCATGCCCTGGGACAAACCCAGGTGAGTTGACAGTCTACTGTCATGTATCACCTGTAGAAGGGTTGATAGAGAGCCCCCTTCTGAGGCTGAGCACCCATGCCCTGGGACAAACCCAGGTGAGTTGACAGTCTACTGTCATGTATCACCTGTAGAAGGGTTGATAGAGAGTCCCCTTCTGAGGCTGAGCACCCATGCCCTGGGACAAACCCAGGTGAGTTGACAGTCTACTGTCATGTATCACCTGTAGAAGGGTTGATAGAGAGCCCCTTCTGAGGCTGAGCGCCCCCATGCCCTGGGACAAACCCAGGTGAGTTGACAGTCTACTGTCATGTATCACCTGTAGAAGGGTTGATAGAGAGTCCCCTTCTGAGGCTGAGCACCCATGCCCTGGGACAAACCCAGGTGAGTTGACAGTCTACTGTCATGTATCACCTGTAGAAGGGTTGATAGAGAGTCCCCTTCTGAGGCTGAGCACCCATGCCCTGGGACAAACCCAGGTGAGTGGACAGTCTACTGTCATGTATCACCTGTAGAAGGGTTGATAGAGAGCCCCTTCTGAGGCTGAGCACCCATGCCCTGGGACAAACCCAGGTGAGTTGACAGTCTACTGTCATGTATCACCTGTAGAAGGGTTGATAGAGAGTCCCCTTCTGAGGCTGAGCACCCATGCCCTGGGACAAACCTGGTCCACTGTCATATATCACCTGTAGAAGGGTTGATAGAGAGTCCCCTTCTGAGGCTGAGCACCCATGCCCTGGGACAAACCCAGGTGAGTTGACAGTCTACTGTCATGTATCACCTGTAGAAGGGTTGATAGAGAGACCCCCTTCTGAGGCTGAGCACCCATGCCCTGGGACAAACCCAGGTGAGTTGACAGTCTACTGTCATATATCACCTGTAGAAGGGTTGATAGAGAGCCCCCTTCTGATCTGAGGCTGAGCCCCCAGAGGCTGTGTCATGATCTGAGGCTGAGACCCCAGAGGCTGTGTCATGGACTTGTATGTCATAACTACAGTACACCCACACCAATTCTCAAGGATGTCTGGTAAGAGGGTCGGTTTAGTTTAGCTGGAGAACCTCAAAAACAACCCCTGAAGAAGGTATACCCACGTCGCTGACTAATTCAACAGAATTGGTCATACCAGTTCTGCCAGTAATTACCTGAATATCGCCCTGGTGCCAGTTCTATGCTGTATTGTGGAGGTCTGTGAGGACCGATGGTTGTGCTGACCTTGTCATGTGTTCTGTTTCAGTGGCCCTGTGGTGCGGACTTTGGACCTGGAATGCCCTGAAGCCTGTATATGTGGACGGGCCATTAAGGCCTCTGCAGCACCAAGGTAAGGGACAAAGAAGGCAGTAAAGCAATATTCAACCTTACAGCATTCTGTAACCTTGGGAACCAGTTAAGATCCAGGTTAGAACTGGTCTTCAGTAAACCATGCTTGTCGTAAGAGGCGACTAATAGGATCGGGTGGTCAAGCTCACTAACACATGCTATCATATCCCAATTGCGTAGATGGATGTTCCATTGCTGTTGATCACTGGATTATCTGGTCCAGACTTGAATATTTACTGACCACCACTATATAGCTGGAATATTGCTGAGTGCGGTGTGAAACAACAAACCAACCAGCCAGCGTTGGGCATATCAATCCCGTTGGTTTCACCAAAGTGGTAAAGATTTGAACCTCGTTCTAAAGAGCGATCTTGACGCTATGACGTAACTTCCATTGTCTGGAAGGGGTTCCGCTCCAGTTCGGGCTTTCATCCCACGTCAAGCTGACATGCCGCTGTATACAGGAATACTGTTCAAGGATGCTTAAACAATATCAAACCCCAATCTAAAGATAATTTCAAAGGAAACTCATACCTTATGAAACAGATACCATAGATATGTTCACTTGTCTTGTTTGCTGAATGAAGCGAACTGTAAATAGACCATATAACTATGTGTCATCAACTCAAACACTGGTCAGTGATCACAAGACATCTATTGACAGCGTTAGTCTGGAGAGTGACCCAAAGGTGACGTCGTCTTCCCCCTTCCCGTCATCCCCTAAGGACACGGAGTCGTCAGACGCTCTGTGGTCCCACCCCTGGCCTACCGCAGTGTGGCAATGCTTCATGAAGGGTGAGTCAACGTCACCGACGGTCCTGCAACGCAACAGGAATACCTGCAGCTTTTCTAATACTAGTTCACCAAGCAGTTGTGGGTTATTATTAAGCAAGACCACGTTTCTTGATTGTATGAAATGAGGTAATGGGAAAGCTTCGATAGCGGAAATCAATTATATCTGCAGCTTTTTAATCTTAGTTCACTTTACAATGATCAGAAAATCTTCGAACTATTTATGAAACATAGTGTATCCATCAAGTCTTTTGTTCATTTAAAACGAACATTAATTGAATGCAGCATGTGCTAAGTATACATATATTTTGATTATTGGACATGTATAGTTACACCAAGTTCTGCATTGGGTTTCTAAAATTTCGTAGAAGCGTGTCCTTGAAAGAGCTCACTACTCCTTCTATTTCTAATATGCCTACTTTGGTAAAGCTAGATTCGATTAAGATGGTATACAGTGATTGTCAGGTGACCCTAAATAACCTGCCAACGTGCCCCCCTTTGTCTGTAAAGGTTGTGCTATTTCAGGGTCCATCATCAAATTCCTGTCATCCTCTGTTCCCCCATTGTTCAACGACTGGCACTCTGCTGAAGAACTCTCTGACCACCAGTCTCTCCGTGAAATCACACAGACAGCCGAGCAGACGACATCTATATTGTAAGACTTTTACACTCTCTGCCTTGGAAACTAATCTTGTTAATTGACAAACCAATTAGATTGGACTAGTCTCATCATGTTGGACATATCACTCTAGTAAGACCTGCTGTAATAATTTGCTGAGGATTTCTCATTTTTCTACTCCAAAGAGTTGTGGTAGATTTTGTCACACAGGTGGCTGAGCAGAAGAAACCACATGTATTGTAAGATGTTTACACTCTCCACCTCGGAAATTAGGCCTGACAGACAACATCGAAAAGAGGATGGGTGCAGATATTGGCCATTTTTCCTTCTTGTCATTTAAAACAAATTAAAAGAGATTCAAACATGGGTTAATCACCTGGCCTTTTTCGTGTAGGGACGATGTGAGGAGATACATACAAATTGAGGTGGGGATTATTTGGCACATTATAACTTACACTAACGAAGAAGTATCACCATCACCATTATTAATGTCTGCTGTCTGTTGTTTATGACCGTGTGAAAAGCGACATGTAAATAATCCAACCTGAACCAAATCAGTAATTGGCAATATGATCATCGTCTCGTAGGTGAGGTGAGGTGAAATTGGGTTTAACGTCGTGCTTGAGAATATTTCGCTCATATGACGACATGCATGCCTGTGTATGTGTATGTGCGGCTGCTTGTACTAGCCCAGACTGAAGATGGTTTTATAGTGCTAGCCCACTGAGATACCATGCCGCAGTGAAGCATGAATACCCCACTCAGACACATTATACTGCCTCCAAGCCTACCAGTCCTTGTTGTACCCATTAAAGCTGAGCGGCAGACAGGGACCAACAAGTACCATATTTTGACGTCTTTTGGTATGACGCGGTCAGGGATCGAACCCGCGACCTAACACTCTCTGGGCGGACGCTCTAACCACTACACCACGGAGGCGGTCTCATCATCTCATAGGGCAGTGGGTGCTATAAATCACAGTCATGACTATTACATGAACAATTGACCAGCATAGGCTGCCAGACCTATCCTAAGCTGGTATGTTCATGGCAGTTCAGTTAACAAATTATGACTGCAAATGTTATCAGTATAATGCATGATGCCTCAGTATATGACAAACACCTCTTTTATTTGCAACCTACCCTCTTAAGAGGTTCCACCCTCTTCTGTTGAGCCTGATGCAAAGCCATGTAAAGTGTTATTCTGGTTGCCATGGTATCAGGGCTTCAGTGTTAAAATATGTTTCATCTCTCTGTTTCACAGTGGCTGTAAACCAATAGGATATACAGCCCTTACCTTATGAGCATGCATGGTCATGCAGTCTATTTAAAAGTCTAGTCTTGCTGTGTAGGCTGATATGATGCCAGCGTTCTTAAATTCGATGCCAAGTAAAATGAAGTGTTATGGCGGATGTCCATTAGGTGGTGTTTGGTTGATGCCAGTGTCAGGAGGTGGTAGGCACCCTCTTGATGCCAATCACCAGTAGGCACCCACTTGATGCTAATCACCAGTAGGCACCCACTTGATGCAAATCACCAGTAGGCATCATCTTGATGCCAATCACCAGTAGGCACCCTCTTGATACCAATCACCAGTAGGCACCTTCTTGATACCAATCACCAGTAGGCACCCCCTTGATGCCAATCACCAGTAGGCATCCCCTTGATGCATCTTAGGCATCATCTTGATGCCTTCTTGATACCAATCACCAGTAGGCACCCTCTTGATACCAATCACCAGTAGGCTCCCCTTGATGCCAATCACCAGTAGGCACCCTCTTGATACCAATCACCAGTAGGCACCCTCTTGATGCCAATCACCAGTAGGCACCCTCTTGATGCCAATCACCAGTAGGCATCCTCTTGATACCAATCACCAGTAGGCACCCTCTTGATACCAATCACCAGTAGGTTCCCCTTGATGCCAATCACCAGTAGGCATCCCTCTTGATACCAATCACCAGTAGGCATCCTCTTGATACCAATCACCAGTAGGCATCATCTTGATACCAATCACCAGTCGGCATCCTCTTGATGCCAATCACCAGTTTCAGGAGGAGGTGGTTGACATTCTCTTGATGCCAATCACCAGTAGGCACCCACTTGTTGCCAATCACCAGTAGGCACCCTCTTGATACCAATCATCAGTTGGCACCCTCCTAATACCATACCAGTGTCTCCATGTTCTATTACAGCAGTGAGCCTGTGGGTTTCCTCCTGACCAAGAAGGAGACCACAGACCCGGGGTATACTGGCAAGTTAGACCTGTACTTCATGACTCACACCATTCAGGGAGACACCGATTCCATCCACCTCGTCGCTCAGTGCACCCAGGACCACCCCTTCTTTGTCAAAGACAAAGGTAATTATGTTTCTTTGTTTGTACAGTAAATTATCATGATGTCGGTTTATTTAGACCAGGACGGCTTACACATGACAATCATAGCGCTTCAAAATGATTGTGTAAGGGGGGGACTTAAATATTTTAATCCATGTGGTATAGAAAATTTAACACTTCAAGTTTGGAGGTTGGGCAGTTGATTCAAGAGAGCTATGCCCGTTTTCCATCCACAATTCAAAAATCAACTTTACAATGGATACACAGGGAAGTAAGCCTGGTAGAAGGAAGCTTACAATGTGTTTTATGCTACATCAAATGTTTGACCCAAAGTCCTATGACCTTCTGTGCCAATGATCTCACAGATGGATTGTCTCCTTGCTGCTGGCATTGGGGAGTATCTGGATTCTGGAAAAACACTTCACTACCAAAATTTAACTCACTGAAACCCATTTAACCCCACAGTACACTTGATTTACAACTACAACGATGATATATTTTTGTTAGGACTACCATCAATATGAAACAAGCCATTATGTATTGAACATGTCACACTTCCAGGGGGCACCATCACCTCCTTGTCTTATGCAGAGTTACTATACTTAGGCAGGCTAGAAACTGTTAATAGAGGGTTTGAACCCAAATTAATCCTGATTATGACCTAAATCGTCCTGCATCAACTGGGTCTCACCTCCCACATTACGCTGACGAGCTGAAATACTGTTCAAATCCTGGTTAAACCCAGCTCACTCACTGTTCCAGGCTGGTCGTCGTGTGATCCCCAGAAGACAGTCACAGAGTTCGGCATACCCTGCCGAGAGTTGACGGAACAGGATCTGTGTCTGCCTCCCACACACCCAGACGCTACCTTCTATGGAAGGTAATATAGGAGTTCACTAAAGGCGCTCCTTTCCTGAAGACTGATCATTACAGTGTCTAGCCTATACATGTTCAGGGTTAGGGCGTTACTCGCCCATACCCATCACCCCCCCCATGATAAATTACCAGTCCCTCCATAGTGTTCAAATGTATTTTTTGGTATTATCCCCCAATGTGTAATATAAGGGAAAACAGCAGCATGATAACCTGCAAATAATCAAATCTCAACCAGACAATCCAGTGATTGAACCTGGACATCGTCCAAAGTGGGGAAGTCGCAGTCGAGATGATAAATGACCGGTCCCAAGTATTTGCTCTGTGGTTCTACCCATGAATATATTCATGTGCACCTGGCATTTTAACGTGCCGGTATCCCAACTATGATTTGTACCATTAAACCAGTTTAGCCGCTTGACGTAGGTATCAGTTATAATGGCTTCCAGGGAGTGGAAATAAAACTGACTGACACATAAGGTGTGTGAAATTGGTAATTTGCTATGACCTGATAGGGTCACAACTAGGAATCGCAGCCAGCTGTACTACGAATGTACTGTTATTGTTTTCAGTTACCAGTTGTCTGCCCTTGATTCCACTGCCGTACTGGCCCTGAGCTCCATGGCACAGGTAGGTTTCTTCTTCAGTTGGTTGGTCGTTATTTAGCACTACACTCAGCAATATTCCAGGTATATGGAGGCAGTCAGTAGATAATTGAGTCTGGACCAGACAATCCAGTGTTCAACAGCATGAACATTGATCTACACAATTGGAATACAATGACATGTCAACCAAGTCAGCGAGCTTGCTCACCCATCTGTTTGTCGCCTCTTACAACAAGCATGGGTTAAGAAGAAGAATAATAAAAAAAATTATTACCCTGAATGGGAATTTGCTGTACATCATCACAGAGCACACATATGAATATAGGATAAATAAGGTAAATAAAAGAGCGTACTGTAAAATAAATTATTGAACACAGATTATAATATGCAGGTAAAATAGTTATGATTAATATAACAACAACAATGTACATATACAAGTAAATATATGATTTGTATGTAAAAATATCATTTATTGTTTAAAAAAGCCTATGCTGGATGGAATGAACGATTTCAGGGCTCTATTTGATTTAAGTTTTGGAATTTGGAAACGTCTGCCAGATGGTAAAAGTTTATATTCTGTGTTTGAAATGTGTGAGGAGTCATGTAAAATTTTATTTGCCAAAGTTAAAACTCTTTCCTCATACTCGTAAGCCAAAGGGTCGAAATCCACATTTGCGATTTTACTGCTTAATTTGACGATTTTGTTGAGTTTGTTTCGGTTGAGCTGATAGGGATCTATACCAGCACTGGATTGAGAAGGTTAAGACACTTTGAATAAAACTACGATAACACAGTGAAAGATCAGTTCTAACCTGGATCTTCAGGGGTTTCTTCTTCAAACTGACATGACTGTTGTGTTAGGGTGCTTCAGAGAATACATAGCTTTGCACATGGTTTTACTGTGCTTACCTGTTACATTCAAGGCTGAATAGAATATATAGATTACTTCCCCAGCACATGTTAGAAAGGACTTTAATTCTGCTTGTGTAACAATTATTTACATCCTGTAAACTGCTTTGTACATCAAGTTTATCTCTTGTGTAATTATCAATCAACTTACTGTGCAAACTTTACTCATGCATATATCATGCCTTTCCTGTAGTATTGTACACCACTGGCTTCATGACACAGAAAACGGAAAATGTCGCTTACATTATAATTAAGAAGTTGTCAGTCCATATATTTTAGTAAGAGCTTCTAATCGGAAAGTCACTACACAAACAAATTCCTTCTATTTAAATAACTGTAAAACTCAGTTTGTTGTGATCTGAATATAGTTAACACTCTCACTCACTCACTCACTCACTCACTCACTCACACATCTTTCAGCAAAAGAAGAACCAGGAGCGCCAGTCACTCTCCTCCCCCGACTCCCCCTCCAAGGAGGACACGTTCAAGTTCGACCTGCCGAAGGCCAAGCGACCAATGAATGCATTCATGCTGTTTGCCAAAGAGAACAGAATTCAGTACACGCAGAAGTATCCTGGCAAGGACAACAGGTATTGTTGATGATTTAAACCATTTTCATGTTTATTCCTGATATACCGAAGCACTAATTGCCCAAGCAGTGACTGCCCAGACGTTTCAGGCGCATCAACTAACCGTGCAGAGTTGTGTCCCTTAGACATGTCAGGAACCCTTGTTCATTGGTCTGAGTGAGTGAGTTAGTTTATTTTTACCCCGCACTCAGCAATATTCCAGCTATATCGCGGCGGTCTGTAAATAATCGAGTCTGGACCGGACAATCCAGTGATCAACAGCATGAGCATCGACCTGCACAATGTGGAACTGATAACATGTGTCAACCCAGTCAGCGAGCCTGACCACCCGATCCCGTTAGTCGCCTCTTATGACAAGCATAGGTTACTGAAGGGTCATTCTAACCCGGATCTTCACGGGTTCATTGGTCTGAACCCCATATTCACCATAATTAGGTTTTAAGGTCCTAACATACTGGTGCAAGTGGATTTCAATGAACAGAACATGCCTCGCATCTGCATCACTTTTGGTTTTATACATCCAGTTGAGATTACTTTAAATACTGAAGTACTGTCACAAGTCTGGTAGAAGACTGGTAGAAGAGCATAATGAAACATATTGACTTGTAAATACAGCATTATTATACATGTGGGAAGGTTTTACAACTGTGACAAGTCCCCATTGGGGAATGACATATGTTTCTTGTTTGTTTGTATTGTTAGGACCTACCAATAAACTGACTATATGATGGCGACCTGCTGTTTATATTACCAGGCAATATAGCCTTCTCCCAAGCCCAAGAGAATAAATTAAAAATAGATCAAAACAAGCCTATAATGATTTGGAAAGTAAATTGCGTCACCTCTAGGCACTGTTCTGGGGTCCATTTTGATTTTATTTAGTATTTTGAAAATCTAGACTTTCCACAAAGCAATCTTAGCGCAACAGCTGTCAAGAGCCATTGTTACAATATGGTAGTTATTAGGGCTGCGCAATATAACCGGTTTACCGGTATTTACCTGTTCAGACATGAAAACGATACGTATTGCGATACGCTGATCAAAAACGGTATTTTGACTTGCATTCGGAAAACTTCGTAACACTCGGAAATCTTCGGATATTTCCTTGTTTCATTTGTGCCAAATATTATTTACATTTCTTTTTTGTCATGATTAAAGGTTGTTGTTAAAGCTTAATCAAGCATAGTTATTTTGTTGTGTTTTTGCTCTAAAAATCAAGCTTTAACGCGATTATACGTAGGGTTTTTTAAAATACTTCTTGCAATATATTGCAATACATATCGCAATATATGCTTTCGCATCGCAATATATTGCAGTATAAAAATTCTCTGCAATACCCACCCTAGTAGTTATGATTACCTTAGCGCTAAGACCGCTTTGTGGAACAGTACCATGTACTTTATATTAAGATGTCTTCATTTCTGGGACAACATGTTAGTCTACAGTAAGAGACAGGATGTTCATTAACATGTTTGAATGTTTCAGAGCAATCAGTGTGTTGCTAGGAGACGAATGGAAGAAGCTAACACCACAGGATAAAAAGAAATTCAAGGAAAAATCAGAAGCTTTGGCGAAGGAGCAGAAACAGCTACACCCAGACTGCTGGAAGAGGAAGAAATAGGTAGACAGAGGGGACGAGTGAGTGAGTGAGTGAGAGGGTGAGTTTGTGTTGGTGTGTGAGTTACTGAGTGGGTGAATGAGTATAATGCCACTATGACCAATATTTCCGTTATGTCACTTGATGCATGAGTGAGTGGGTTTAATTTTTACACCTTTTAGCAATATTCCAGCAATATCACAAATGGGCTTCGCACATTGCACCCATGTGGGGAATCGAACACAGGACTTGGGCGTAACAAGCGAACGCTTAAACACTAGGCTACCCCACCACTCCACTTTATGTAGGAAGTGGGACGAGGGAAAACGGCATTTAACCTTACCTTCAAGATTATTGTACTTTGGGACTAGTCATGTATTATGGGTAAAGGTGTATGTGTGGTGTGCATGTCTGAGCTGATCCATCCTTATTTTATCCCCTTAAATTGTAGCACCAGCCAGGGTAACAACAATCACCATCTTTTAACATCTATGGTACAACACATGCAGAGTTGATGCAGGTTGTACAACTGTGGCACTCTGTGAAATCCATGTGTAATGTGTTAATCAAGGATCTTAAGTGGTATACTGATCTTGTCTCATCTAAGGGAAGTAAATCTGCAGAGCATGTTCCAGCATGTTCAACCACAAACCACCCTTCCTTACATGTATGAGGAACATGATTTAGATTTGAACTCAAAGCATGTACAATGGAGGATACTGTCATTCCCTGTTCATTTGTTGTGGCCGTACGGAGACAATCATAATTACGAATAGTTGCAATATCCTTATGTCATAATTATGTCATTTAATTAATATATTTCTTTTCAGACTATCTTCCTGAATATCCTTGGTATTAGCCAATCTGTGATCTCAGCTACGACCACTGCCATTTGATTGGACGAAGCCATACAGCCAGTTTCAATTTCACTGGATGGAACTGAAATACTTATTCCATTTTGATTGGATGATTGTGAATGAGTTTTTTTGTGAGTATTTTTGTGATTGATGTAAAATATTTGGAGGATTACACCACGCTATACACCACAATAACCAGAAAATTGTTGCGACATTCTTACCTGTTTTTGCACGCATTTTGGTGCTGCCGGAGATACTATTCCAACGTTTTTGTAGAGTCACAATTCATATGATAATGTTGAAGTTTCATATTTTTTGTCGAAGCTATTCCCATCAACAATGTTTATAACGAACAGTTACATGTGTATCATATATATATCCTGTTTGCCTGTACGCATTCATACACTGCCAAGTGGTCTGCATGTACAAGTTCATTCACTGCCAAGTGGTCTGCATGTACAAGTTCATTCACTGCCAAGTGGTCTGCATGTACAAGTTCATTCACTGCCAAGTACTATACAGTTTTGTTTTGATAAGTTTATTTCTTTGTAGATAGCACAGTTTGCATTAGATTAGGTGTGTCTATTTGGAGGATATTTGTACTGAAGCCAGACCAAATTTATTACTTGTTTTATGGGAAACGTCTTTTGAAATGTCCAGATGCAGAGGGGACAAAAATGGAAAAGAGGAATTTGTTCAAGCGCCTAGGTTAATTTGTTGAATGATGCGCCAAGTAATATTCAAACTAAATGATGGTTTGTGTGTAAAAGACCTAGTCTGGACCAGATAGTCCAGTGATTGACATCATGAACATTTGATCCAATTAGACAATCAGTATAAGGCCTTTATTTCAAATACTGCAATTAAATGAATTTAAATTCTCCTCCATTACTTGAAATTCAGAAGCATCTGAGTTAATTTTATTATTTGATTATCCAGCAGGAACGCCAATTGTGGACTGTTTTTCATGCATTTTGCAAATGTCTTGGATGTAAAGCAAGTAAAAGATTTGATCTGGTCGTAGAAGATATATTTATAATGACTAAGTGCTATGATTTAAGTGCTATGATTCAAATGCTGGCAACGTCTGGTGCAGTAGATTTGCTCTTACATTTCCTCTTTGTATTATGGTTTGTTTCATGGAAATTGTTTCTGTTTGTTTGTTTTTTTGGCAATTGTTGATAATCTGACAAGTTTATTTGTTGTGCACACCGACATATGTATATGAAAGATTAAACATCAAAGATGATCAATTCTTCATTTTGCATAGGCTATTCATACTGATATGAAGATATTCTTTTCACACTTTGCTAAGGATCAAATCATGGATTCAACAGAAAACTATTATGTGGGGTCAAATTTGGTTTCAATACCTAAGCTTTTTGTAAGCATGGATCCTAGGTTTCAGTGTGTCATTGCATCTTGTGGATCCCATACCTGCTATTGACATGTGTTGTTTATTTGTCAGTGACTCGTTCCATGATTTGCAAAATGGTTGATTGGTGCCATGAAAACCATTTTTGTGGTTAATCATGTATCAAGTGCATAAGGTTAGATTAAAGTGGCTGTCTGCCTAAAGAGGGGTTACCATATTATTATTTATCGAGTTTTAAATGGATACAATTTCAAATTATAAATCTACGTTTAAGTAAAGTTTTGAAATTTTGTGTTCCTTAGCAAAGTGTGAGTAGTATATAAGCCGTTTCATTCATGCTGATACTTTATTATCAGATACAATGGCTGAATTGTTTGCAAAAGCTGAATTTACTGGCTCAAGAACCCACACATGCTTCATAAGGATTGGATAGTCGATGTTCCATCAGGGTTCACTTGAGACAATCTATGGGGGTTCCTTGGATCTTCTCGCGGAGAAATAGCAGAGTAGCACATCTGATTTAGATGGAACTGGCAGCCTGATTTAAAGGGGACTTTTTCTAGCTCTCTAACACTTAGTCTCTGATAATATATACTTTACGTTGAGAGAATTTTGATTGAAAAGGAACCTCAGTTGGATAGGAGAATCTGAGTTACTAACCTTGCTGGTTGCACAGACCTTGAAGCTGTGGAAAATCTCGACTTTCTGGGCAGAAGGGAAATGGTATGGTTCTGGGACTGTGACAGGGTTCCCACAACACCTGGAAAACCTGGAAATTTCACCCCCAATTTTCCTTTTTTTGGAAAAATCATGGAATTTGAAAAAAAATGGATGAAACCATGGAAAAATAATTTTATGATCTTTATCATAAAGAGATGTGAATCGATAGCTGTAAGGAGAGATGGGAGGATTTAAGATATTGTTTTATTTCAGACACAGTAATATAGGTTTAAAGGTAAATACCCTTTGACATATATTGTTGTGTCTGGAAAAAGCAACATTTGTCTTGAAAAATCATGGAATAATTGTTAACAAAATGTGGGAACCCTGTGTGAGACAGTTTTCTGTTCCTAGTATAACCACTGTTATCAATGCCATGTACGACACAGAGACATTGCCTCTGTAAACTAGGGTAAACAATTAACTGACAGAATAACATACATTCTACATTTTGAGATATCTAATTGGTGTTTCAAAGACCTGAATTAAACTTCCGGAGACTGCTAATATGTCTGAGATGCTATTCTAGAAAACTAAGTGTAAAAGCTGGTTTAAATGTAAAAAAGCAATGATATAACCTATGCGACAGATTAAATTGAGCAGCATTAATACTTGTGAACTATTGCTGAGGTCAGCAGAATCTGTGTGTCATATTGCTACTATTACACTGCCAACTAATTACATACATTATGTATGTTGTGTAAGTTCACTGCCAACTTGTTTCATAAAGTGTAGATATTCTGTAATTGTTGCACAGACAGGTATGTGATGCAGATGTATTTAGTATTACGCAGCCTTTAGCAATATTCATGCAATTTCATGGCGGGGACACCAGAAATGGGCTTCACACATTCTACCCATGTGGGGAATCGAACCCAGGCCTTCGGCGTGACAGGCAAACGCTTTAACCACTAGGATACCCCTTTGCCCCATAGATTTGTGAATAGAAATCAGACAAATTGTAATTAACACACATATTTCTTGAGAGTAGTGGGTAAACAGGCTACCATATTTGCAATATTATTAAGTAACAATTTGTATAAAAGATTTCAAAGGATGGATGCTTTATAAAGATAACGTATCTCACTATTTTTCAACAAGGAAACAGTTTATGATCATAATGATAGGCACATAGCTTAGTTGTTATAGGTTATCTTAATATAGAAATGTTGGAATTCTTTTTAAGAATGTCTGTTGGTCTAATCTGCACTTAACTGTAGTTGCATATATAAAAATCACTCACCATCAGCTTAGCAATAAAGTACAACTAAACTTCAAAGTAAAAACATCATGCATAGTGAAATATGTATTCATCCTTCCAAAGTCCTACATTCCATTAAAAGGCCCTAGTATTGTTGTGTCATTCTCATATATGCATTAAGTCCTCAAGGAAGTGATAAAAAAGGCATTAGTTTTCTTGAATATCTTACTGCACATGGAAGTTAATTGTCAGCATTAAATCATTTTTTTATTAAAACAAACTAAATCTTTCGTTATGCATGCCTTAAAATATTTCCATTCGATTTTCTGTATTAAAATGTTGATCCATTTCTAGTTCAAAGTCCTTTATAATTCTAAGATTCTTGTAGTAAACCCTTTTCTGATATCTTAGAAAGGTTTAGCATCATTACATTTAATCATGAATTTTGAATATTAAATATTAAAATGTTTCATGAAATAATCTTGATAATGTTTTCCAGTATTTCAAAATATTGAATTATTAAACTCTACTGTCGTAGCAGTTTGTCCCTCTGAACCCTTTTCCTGTCATTTCATGTTTTGTTTTAAATTTGAGGAAGTAAAGTGATATGTTATTTATAAGTAATACACCCTCTGTCAGACGTACAGGACAATGATCTCACGTAAAGTTGCAATACGAATTACAACGGTCAGTGACAGCCATCACAATCAAAATATACAACCGTGTTTTTTAGTCTTACTATAGTGTTTTATTGACATGTTAGAATATTCAAATTTTTGTCATGTAATTCAAGTAACAGTATATGTAGTGTATGTTCATGCAGTGTATGCATCAGATGTTTTCATGTGCATGGTGGTGCAGAACTATATTAAACACTTTCAAACCAGTTTACACAGTCTAGACCCGAGTCTAGACCAGGCTTTATATGATTACACAATGCCATTTAGAAAGTGATCAAATGTAACATATGTTATATTTGGGATTACACTTTCTTAGTAAAGTACAAATTCTAGTACTTTTTTTTTTAGTTGAGCCTCATCCGGGATTCAAACTCGCACCCTCAGGTGGAAGTCGCGGTGGCTGAGCGGGTTAGGCGGCTGACTTTGTGTGCGGGCGATTAGGTGACTGACTCTGAGGGTGCGAGTTCGAATCCCGGATGGGGCTCAACTGAAAAAAAGTACTAGAATTTGTACTTTATAACATATGTTACAGGCTTTATATGTCAGGTGAGCTACTGAGCTTTGGGATCTATTTCTACTGCCTAATTTTTGTATTTTCTTAATATTCTATTTGATAAATGTATTGGTTGTTGTGATTACACTGCCATGTTACACAGTGCCAGACTGGGTTGTTACGAGTACCAGGGATTTGGCTGCTCTTAGCAGTATTCCAGCGATATCACAGCAGGGACACCAGATATGGGCATTGTAGAGAGTCAAACCTGGGCCTTTGGTAAATGAGCAAACGCTTAAACCACTAGGCCACCGCTACCCTGTTTTGCTGTGAAGATTGTTATGTTCTTGGTCAGTCTAAGTAAACTTAGACTCAGTATTATTCGTAACACTGCTATATAGCTGTTTAGCAATGTAACAAATAATTCTGAGCCTAAGTTTACTTAGACTGGTTCTTGGTTACAGAAGGATCTTCAGGATAGTGGCCACTATCAAACAGATTATCTTTCATCCACACATCTATTTCTAGGTAAATGTTTCTGTAAAGTCAGTTTTCTGTAACATTTGATTTTAACACGTACATTCTCTTTCTTTGATGCCTGTCAGTGATGGAGACATCACATGGTTGTGTGCACGTGGAATTACAGGAACCTACAGGACGGCTGATACCATCCTGCTACTAAAGTCTTCCCTCTAACATGGCTTCAAATAACTTAGAATGCACATTTATGTAAAGTAATTTTTCTTGTCATAATTTATTAATAGGTGACCAAAGTGTCCCTTTGATTCAATTAAAGAAAATCAGTTAATCCACATAGATAAATATGTCATTGTTACAGGTGTTGATGACTTGTAGTAGTGTTTACAGAAGCCCATTAGGGCCACAAAATTATCTTGAAAATTCATAGGTTTTTATTTTATTGCTTAAGTTTTAGTTTATTTCTGGCATTAACACCAGCTCAAAATAGAATTGAATCCATTAAAACTTCATTTGCTGAATTCAGTTTAACTTGAATTATTTCCTTAATAACTTGCATTTTCAAGTTAGTAAGCTAAATTTTCAAGATAGCATAAGAAATTTTTAAAATATTATCCAGAATTTCCAAGTATTACCTTGAGTTTTTAAGAAGGTGAAAACAATGTTATGGACCTAATAAGCTTCCATAATTTCCAATGCCTCACCTCTGGAAGGCTATACTCTGATGGCATGTCATGTCATGATATGTACAGTGATCTGTTTCTGGGGGGAACAACAGCCAATATAAACCATATGCCAAGTCTATTGTCTTGGAGGAGTTGGACATTATCATAGTGTTGGCATCAAAGCCAGATCTGGCTCTAAATTGTGTTTATTTAATGTGTGTATTTAACCAGTTTTGTTGTAGTATTTATATCACTTGTCAGAAATGTGTCATGTTTTGAATGATGCTTGTTAATGTTAGTTAAGGCCAGACCAATTTTAGTTCTTGTTTTATGGATCTGCCAGTCGTATTTTTACAAGAATAAGAAAAAATATATAAATTAATTTTCCACTCTCAAACAATAGAATCCTAATGTTTTATAGGCCAAAAATGTAAACTTAAAAGAACATTTTATTATTGTTTTTTGCCCCTTATACACCTAATAAATTGCCAAAAGTAAAATACTTTTAATATTTCGAAGGAATATTACTGATGATTTTAAAAAAAATTCCCATCCTGCCTTTAAGTTTTCTGAGGACAAAAATCTGTAAAACAAGAAATAAATTGGTCTGGCCTAAAGGGGCTTGTCTGTTTAAAAACCAGCCCACAACTTTAAAGTGTGGTGTCTGGAATCAACAAAGAGACCATCTCAGTCCAAGGTTGAAGTAGTGGCCAGAAAAAATACCAACCAATTATACCACATCGTTACATTTTGTTGTGTAAATAAGATAAAGATTATGATTTTTTTTGCAGTTTTACTTTACATGATGAAATATTCAAGCTTCAAGCAGGTAACTCCTGCTGACAGGAAATGTAAAGAGTTTGTTTGAATTATTTTAAAAAGGTTGCTTATAAAAGATTTTTTTATATACGAAATTTGGATGCAAATTTGATGATTAATTGGGCCTAAGTTAACTCAATTGTATTCTAACTTGGTCCAGATTGCTAGTTCTGTTTACTGAAGTTAGATAGTGAAGTTGATCGTTAAAATTTCCTTACCATGGCTGCGTGGTTTTAATTTCCTGTTAATTCCAGTGATGAATAGCTACATAATATATCAGTATGGGAATATAATTATCAGAAACAACTGATTTGTCACTAAACAATTTTCATTTCTGTAACTAAAAAATTCTTTCAAAAATACACATGAAAACTAGTAAATATTTCCTGTTTAACATGACCATCGTAGCTTCGGTATTATAAAGAAATCTCTGTATGAAGAACAGGAAGTCCTACAGTATTATACTATAGTTAAGGATGCTGTTTTAGCCAGGAACAAGATGACGCATGTGGCCTGTTCTTTACACTGATGGTTTTAGCTGTGTCGTGTGACACGACATCTATGTTTATATTTTGTAAAGATTGACAACTATCCTGCAACCATGTTCATGTTTTATTATGTTTTATCATTTGCTCAGAAAGGAGATGAAAATATAAAGTGCTCATAAAAGAATGATGTTGTTTTTCTTTTATGTTTATTTTTCAATATCCCTCTTCCCGTTCCAGTCTGTATGAGCAGGTTTTTTTGTTGTTTAACGCCATACTCAGCAATATTTCAGCTATATGGCACAGTCTCTAAATAATCGAGTCTGAACCAGACAATCCAGTGATCCACAACATGAGCGATGATGTGCACTTTTCAGATACAATGACGTGTCAACCAAGTCAGTGAGCATGACCACCCAGTCCCATGAGTCGCCTATTACAACAAGCATGGGGAGCCGATGACCAATAATATATAAATAGAACATATCCCCGGCAACACTATCAGATCCATGACAACATGAACATATCCATACCAACACCATAATAACACTCTGTTTCTATCAAAATACACCAGTCCACAGCTCCAGGACACAGTCTGTTTGAATCCAACACCAAATCAACATCTCTGAACATGCTCCTTTTATTTCAACAAATAGTTTGATTTTATGACAGATTAAAAGTAAATAAGTTGTGTAAATTTTCTGAAATTAAAGGCAGGCATTTCAGGTGTACTTGACGTGGATACCCTGAAAAACAAATCCTTAACAATCACCTGTCCTGAAGTCAAATACATACCAGGTACACATGTAACACAAATATGTCTTCTATAAACTCAGCACGGTTAATAAATATAAACAAGAACCTTCCAGGAAAATCCATATTAAAACAAATATTAACTGGAAACTGACAAACAGATTTTGAAATGTACTTGTATGAATTTCAATATTAACAATGTTGACCAAAGCATGTGGACTGAAAAACATATTCGACTTTTCTGTGGTGTTTCGTGCTTAGATTATAATGCCATCTCCTACCAGTTTGGTACACATCCTTGGACCAAAACTTGACACGATTTGATTGTTTGTGTTATTGTTAGAAGATAGCATGACACCTTTCAAGCATTATTACAATCCTAACATAAAAATAAAATAAAAACATGTCAAAATATGAAAACCTCATAGTAAAAACCAAACATCCTTAATTAGTATATAGTTAGTCCAAAGTAAGGGTAGGATATAAACCTTCAGACCATAATAATTTGTGGATAATAAAACATATAAATATATACACACTCAAAATGTTTGTAATGCAATGCCAATACAATAAAGTAATATATCTGATATGTACTGACTGGACATATACTGATACCATCAGCAAACATTTGATGTGATCTTCATGCTGAGTCCCTAGGACTTCCAGTCTAAGTAAACTTAGGCTCAGTACTGTTCGTTACACTGCTATACAAAGTCTGACAAACTCCAGTAGAAGGTGGCGTCAGCTAACCTTTTGAACTGACCAATCAGAACACAGCTTACCAAATCGTAAAAGTTAACATTCGCACATACTTTTACCTCGAAAATGTTTGTACTCGAACAATTGTGAATGCTATTTTCCCGCACGATTGCTCCTGAGTGATACACATGGAGGACGCCATTATTCACAGCAGTGAGTAAACAGTCGTTGAAAATAGTGTTTTTGTCAATATTCTGGGATGTCATCTTGTGGAAATATAAGCTTATAGTAACCATGTCATCAGAAACGCCTAAGCATCAAATATCTGTGTTTTATGCAGATTTTCGTTTGTTTTGAGATGAGTGTCAGCAACCGGGGAAAGAGAAAATTTTGTAAGTCCTGTCGAACCCTAAATAGTAGGCATTGGCTGATTGGTAAAATCTGTTCAGTCGTCTCGGGTTTGATGGGACGGTCATAGATCGCTCAAAAGTTAACTGACACAACCTTCTACTAGGGTTTGTTTGACTCAGTATAGCAGTGTAACAAATAATACTGAGCCTAAGTTTATTTAGACTGATAGGACTTCCTGGCTGCACCGGAATACGAAACATGTATGTGTAAAAAACATAACATTTAAAACATGAACAATACATGACTTAATGACTGAAAACACATTTCTGAAATACATGTACATGCATATACCTGTTTTTATATGGTAATGTTGTTATTTTTATGATTAACTTAGCTCTAAATGCAACGTTGAGATAAAGCATGATAGTCGCTGAGTAGACATCCATGGAATAATACAAATCAACATAACGCAAGTTTAGTGCTCTCAGACCTATCTAGCACTATAGCCATTGAAGCTTCTGAGGTCTACAATCATCAGTTTTCTTGTGCTACAACCACAGACTCTCCCTGCATCAGCAATCATCATAGCTCTCATGTGGATCTCCCTTGTGCTCTGACCATCAGATCTCCCTACAGATCTCCCTTGTGCTCTGACCATCAGATCCCCCTACAGATCTCCCTTGTGCTCTGACCATCAGATCTCCCTACAGCAACAATAACTGGAGCTTACTGGTACCTGTGATAGTCAACAAGTCTCCCTTCAGCAACTATCAAAGAACTTATGTTATGCTACTATAATCTCCCTAGTACTACAATCATCAAAACTCCTTTGTGCTTCCACCATCGGATCCTTGTGCTACTGTCATCAGAGCTCCTACAGTCCATTTGCACAGTCACATGAAATCGACAGACCAGCTCTGATGATTTGTTTCTTAATTTTGGACACTCGAATAAAACAGTTGTTCAACAAACGATCATTATTTTGTTGTCACTTTTTGCTATATCTTACGAGGGAGGACCACTTGCTTGTAGAACAGCCAGGTAATCAACAAGCGTGTGCAGTGAATTTTTTTCAATTTCACACGTACAACTCGTAACGGACTATAAGTGCTACAGTTATTGGTGCTCCCTTGCATTATAACCATCAAATCTCCCTAGCACTACAATCAAGGAAGCTACCTTATACTATAACACTATCTGTAACATCAAACCTGGATCTATCCCAATCTGTACAGCCATCAAACCTGCCTTGTAATGTGACTATCAGATCACCTTGGTGCTACAGCTGTATTTTGAGCATTCATTGTTCACAATGGAGTGCACATTTTTTAAATACATGTGGCCAAATTATGCTAAATGTACACTCTGATAAGCATAAAAATATACTAACATCAACTCTTATAAGGCAGGAGGGAAAAAAATAAAAAATAAAATCACCAGTCAAAGTAATATTTCTTTAGCATACTAAAAGTATTTCATTTTTGGCAAATTATGAAGTGTATATAGGGCTAAAAAACAATCAAGTTTACATTCTTTGCCTAGAAAAACATAAGGATTTTATTTTTGGAGCGGGGAAAATTAATTATTTATTTTTTTCTTATTCTTGGAAAAATATGACCGGCGGATCCATAAAACAAGAAATAAAATTGGTCTGGCCTAAGTAAGTAAACACTAACTTCTTAACTGTCTAGTGTATCATTAATGCAAACAACTGCTGCTAACAAAATGCCTGGTTAAGACAGTAAAAACACCAATAAAATGCCATAGAATCATGTACATGTTAGTGAACATATTGAGGTGAAATGACTATAGGTTCTCATCATCACTATGTCTCTTGTATATCCCATATTGCAGTTTCAACAGAAAGTATTGGAAGAACTTTTCTATTAGATGCCATTAAACTAAAATTGCACAAAAACCCCAAGACTTCTTGGAAGTTCTAAAACATCAGATAGGTGTTTGTCACTACAAGCAGTCATCCCAGGAGTAGGGCCATTATACGAAGTAATACTGTAACTACAAGCTGTCACCTTCATCAGTACGGTAACAACGTAGGAATATCAGATGTTACACAACTGAAGGGCCTCATCGAATGACCTGAAAACCATTATCAAGGTAGGAACGTGTTCCTGTTCCATACCAAAATGGTGGAAGTTATCCAGCAACAAGCATTCTTGGCAAGAAGCATATCATATAGAAATCAACATGCATTCAAATATAGGAAGCTCTATAAACATGATATAAGTGAACAAGTAATTATACAAAATCACTGGTTGTTTATAAAATTTGCACGAGGGGCTGATGGCGTTTCATTTGTAGAGATAAAATACCAGATGGAGGTTCAGGTATCTATTAGGCATATATGAAGTTCTATCAAACTATCAAAAGATTGCACAGCTTAAGACACCACAAAAAGCTTTATTACAGATACACTAAATTTGTTTGCTGATCAATAATTGCTTTGGTTTGGCTGTTGTTTAAAGCCACATAGCAGCAATAACTCCAAGACCATGTTGGCAATTTACGCTGGTCCTGTGGTCCCTGGCTAATAAAAATTCATCAGGACCACTAAATGATAAGTTTGCAGTGGTAATGGTGGCCAGTGAATTCTGTATAGATAGTTAAGTAAATCTACAGATGATATTTTGGACCAGTGAAGTACAGACAGGACCACTAATTATTGTCCACTCACTGGTCCTGTGGTCTATGGGAAATTTTGAAAGGTTTCTTTCAATCTAGTCATCAAGACAATCTAGTAGATTTTTGAATATAAGATAAGTAAGTGCCATACATTAACAAAACTCTTGCCTTAAATCTAGGCCCATGTTGTTGGTATACAATGACGTGCAATCTACCTAGTTGTAGGACGAGCTGTTGGGTGTGTGGAGGCAGGTGTTAGAGGATGATAACTACATTTGTCTAAAGCTGACAGAACAGGAATCAATATCAGAGTTAATCTGGGAACATCACATGTACTACTTTGTATCTAGAAACTATATTCTCAATAAACACTTCTCATACTCTTTGTCAAATGCATCTTTAGGCCAGACCAATTTATTTCTTGTTTTATGGATCTGCCGGTCGTATTTTTGTAAGAATAAGAACAAAAATAAAAATTAATTTTCCCTGCTCAAAAAATAAATTTTAATATTTCTATTGGCCAAAAATGTAAATGTGCAAGAAAATGTTTTAGATTGTTTTTTCCCCCATATACATTTCATAAATTGTCAAATGTAAAATACTTTTGGTATTTAAAAGGACTGGTGATTTTTTTACAATAAAATTTCCCTCCTACCTTTAGGATTTCTGTGTACAAATATTCATAAAACAAGAAATAATGTTGGTCTGGCCTTAGCATAAAACATACATTGGCAATAGCTCTAACCGTGATACATCAGCCATTAACAGTCTTAAGATTTGCAACTTGCAAGTCAAATATATGGAAGACATAGCAATTTATATCTACACCACTCAAAACAAATTAAAGAACACATGATATTTTAGTTCTTTGAATGTATTTAGAGTGAGTGAGTGAGTATGGTTGCATGTCGCTTTTAGCAATATTCCAGCAACATCACGGCGGGAGACACCAGAAATGGTCTTCACACCTTTATATTTGCTAAACATGACATTTTGAGTTAATTCACACTCTTTCTATAGGTAAAAATACAGAAATGTTTGACTATCCTGATGCATGTACTTTCATATGACTGTAGTCAGTCCTGTGTGTTGGGGAAAAAAAACACAGCCTTCCAGGTGTGGATGTTCTTCACTTGTTTTGAGCAGCATAGCTACAATTTCATAAGGCCAGACCAATTTTATTTCTTGTTTTACGGATCTGCCGGTCATATTTTTTTCAAGAATAAGAAACAAAATTAATTAATTTCCCCTGCTCAAAAAATAAAATCCTCATGATTTTTATTAGTCAAAAATGTAAACTTACCCCCAGAAACATTTTGATTATTTTTTGCCCCATATACACTTCATAAATTGCCAAAAATAAAATACTTTTAGTATTTTAAAGGAAAATTACTTTGACTGGTGATTTCTATTTTTTTCCCTCCAGCCTTTAGGTTTTCTGAGGACAAAATTCCGTAAAACAAGAAATAAAATTGGTCTGGCCTAAAGTAAAGTTACAAGCCGTGGTAATTCTATATACAAATGTAAACTGTCATTGCAGCTAGCCCACAGCAGTTGACCAACAGGTGGGGTGGAAGCTTAGGTTTTGCATATAAGCTTTTCTATTCTATAACAATATGGAAGTATGTATTTACAGTTCTTGGTGCATAATAGTTATCATTCTCCCTTTACCAACATGCAGTTTAGTCACCCTTGATTATACAGTGAATTACATCAATCCTGGACCCATTCAACAAAGAACTTCAGAAACAAGGTCAATGATCATCTTTAACTCTCAGGAAACAATTTCAGCAGTAAAAATTGTGCGTGACAAAGAAAAATTACTGTGTGACAAAATGAAATTGTCGTTAGATTATCTCATGTCTAAATACACAGTAGGGCTGGGACAGGTCCAAATTTTCTACCATGGTACCCCAACCCTCTATTACCCTACCCTACCCGGATACCCGTTATGGTAATTCCTGACATCAAATTTGCAAGAAATGGCAATATATTCTTCAGCTCAGAGGCTAAAATTTCGAGTTTTTCAATATCTTAACCATGTATTGTATTCAAAAGAAGTGACTGTAAATTATGTCTAAATCTTCAAAGACAATACAACTTTTTAATCATAAAAGAATAACATATTACATTGTTTAATCTATTAGTCACATGATCATAACGGGTCCGGGTATTGAGACAGGTACCCGGGTCCAGTTTATTACCCAACCGTCCCGGGTATCAGGGTTACCCGCCCCAGCCCTAATACACAGAACAATTTGGTCAAATATTACAAAAATTTGAATATACATTTCAGTAGAGTTAATCATTACAGAAGTATTTAAAAAATGAACTTCAAGCTTAGAACATGGTTTTCCTAAACACCAAGACCAGAAAGAAAAGTTTCGTATATGAGACGGCACACAAATGTCGAGTCAAGTCTTCTTCTGTCATGACAGTCTTACTGTATCAAAATGAAGGTATTCTATTAAATGAGTCCAGAGTATTTATGACAATAGATTGGAGATTTAACTCATGAACTACAGAAGATGTGACTGGCTAGGATATGGAATAATACTTTCACTACCATTAAACATCTGGTTCAGTGATCACAAATTCAATATCATCAATAAGAAAATATTTTAAAAATTCACAATGATAAAATCCGAAAAATATAATTATGCCAATATCTTGAAGTACATAGAAACTATCAACACAGGATCTTTAAATCCCATTACAGTAACAATCAACACGGCAGCCATTGAAGGTCAAGGCAGAGACCATATATCTGTATATGGTCTCTGGTCAAGGTTACTACTAACGAAAGGGATATAACTTGAATTTTCCAATATCAAAAGGCAAATCTGTAACTTAACCTATAATGAGAAATATCACAGTTATAGCTGTGGAGTTTATGAAATATTATATGTGACTATTTATGGTCCATCACACAGACAAAATTACTTAAATACATAATAAGCCATATTCACCATTTTGAGACCTGGACTGACCATATTCTAGACCCATAAGTAAACTTTATCTTTATCAGCAGTCCTGAACCTAAAACTTAACATGACTGTTTGAAGTTACCTGTATATATTTATTACAGACAACAGAGTTCTCCCAGTTATATTTATCAAAATCACTTCAGTTTCATCGATGTTTGATCTATGTTTGTTCACCATTGTTTCATATCTGAAAACAAATGTAACTTGTGTATGTTTTCTATAAGTGCCCCATTTTTCAGTTTCTTGAGTGCCCAGGGTGATCCATACAGATACTACGATAGCAAGAACTGAATCTTGATAAGCCACTGGTAAAATCTGGTAAAATCTTGACAAAACAAGAACTTGACATCTTTGCCATACGAACTATCAGAACATGGGCAGATAATATTTTCTAATTGTTTACTTCTAAGAAGAATTTTGTTTCAAGTGCTGAATGATTAATGTATGGACACGTATATCACTCAGGACACAGTGTGGCACTTGTGGGAGACATAGTACTTGTAGTACAGGTGTACTTAAATTAGGAGTGTGGTTTGTATTTAACAGCTATATGAACAGTAAATAAATTATCATGGCAGGGTAACGTTCAGTTGAAAATAAATTTGTTAAAACCCATGAGCATGGTGTTTATAAGGAAAGGATGGAAGATTTCATTTGACACCTCAAAAACTTCACACAAACCTGCCACAAACTTGGACATTGCACATGGGGCAAGCTGTTATGAACCTAGGGGAGATAAGCCAGCAAATTGCTGTAATGTGTGGGGCAAAAATATAATGTCGTACAATAAGAGACTTCTGGCACAGTTTAACATCATGCATAGGAGGTCCTGTGCCCTGCTAGTTTTACACACAGAAAAGGTGTTCCACATGAGGACAAGCTGGTGTTTCAAGCTTGATCAGCAGTGGGTTTATAAGTGACAGTTCGCAACTGAGAATGACTCCAGCTGAGCCAACATATCTAGTGCACAGACATATCAAGCAATGTCACGAAGATCTGGACTGTCTGAAACAGTCATCATATTTATGCTTTAGATTATGCAACATATTAATCTTAATTGTAAATTCAACAAAATTTGTTATGTATGTTTGTGTAGATAATGTTTATTCCTTTAATAATGCTGTTTCAAGCGGCTCCATAGTAAGAATTACATGTTTTGTAGCCATGTTTTGAGGACTTCAGACTTTATCCAGTATTAAATTTTGTTTCCCCATATTTGCTACCCTGGTAAACTATCCCAGTTCTTATGACTTTTAAAATAATCTATTTGTGTATTTCCTTCCTTGAGTGTTTTACTGTAAGGATTTTCTTTTCTGAAATATCCACGACTGATATTGTGACTTAGCAATGCCCAGATTGAAGGAAATATTGACCTGAATGTCTCATTTTGATGACAAATTTGATAACTTGAGTGAGAAATCAAGTTGTGTTTCTGCTTGTTGTTCAATGTGGGAGTCAGCTATATATATGCTCATAGTCTGTAATATAAATCTGGACCAGGTAATCCAATGATTGTTATTGTCAGCAAAGATTCACACCGGGTACATTTATTCTGACACGGATTCCCCAATAAAAGCACCATGTCTTATATGACACAGTATACCATAATACATACAAACATGACAAATGTAAACTTAATAAAAATCTTCTTCATAAACCACTCACAAGAGGTTGAAGAATATGACATGACAGATTAACTCTAGTCAAGTGAAAATATTCAATTCTTTAACTCTTTTAAGTAATATACTTAGAAATTCTAATCACAACAAACCTGACAGATGTTGAATAAATATACATGTTGGCAATACCTTCAGATAATGTGCTCAGTTGGTTAAACTTTGCAAGACAGTAAAGGTAGCTATCAAGCGTTCATAACATGTTGTGACCGCTTCCGTGATGTAGTGGTTAGTGGTTAAGAGCTGAGAGTTAAGCGGGTTCGATCCCGACCGCGTCATACCAAAAGACGTTAAAATATGGTACTTGTTGGTCCCAGTCTGGCTCTCGGCATTAATGGGTACAACAAGGACTGGTCGGCTCGGAGTCAGTATAATGTGTCTGAGTGGGGTATTCATGCTTCACTGCAGCATGGTATCTCAGTGGGCTAGCACTATAAAACCAGCTTCAGTCTGGGCTAGTACAAGCAGCCGCACATACACATACACACGCATGCACGTCGTCATATGAGCCAAATATTCTCAAGTACGACGTAAAACCCAATCTCACCTCACCTCATAACATCTTGTGTGCAGCCCCATATTGAGGAATAATTTAAGATGTTATTTTTTACCACCACACTTGTTTTTATAGTTAAATTCAATTAAGATGTTGTAGCGTTGGTTAATGTCGTCACAACACTGGTATGTTTGCAAAAATGAAATTACATAGTAACACATTTAATTTAGGTCACATGACACTTTATGTCTTACAGTCTTTGGGTGTCGCTCAATAGCTACCTTTAGTGAGAATACACTGCTGATCATGTTAGTGGCCTCTCAAGCTGGTTTTGGGGAAGACTTGACCAAACCTTGGTACATCTCAGTGAAATAATGTGCAATGGGATGACACTACTTGGGTACTAGATGTGAAACATAAAGGATGGTTTGAGATGAGAGTAATGAAAGTAACAATTAGTTTACCAGCATCTGAACTTTACAATATATGTGTCCAGATGATCTTTACACAGTCGGGACTATTCACATTCTGGCACCGATATCATGAGACGGTTTGAAAACTGTCACAGATTGTTCTAATGGAGCTTATTATCTGTCTGCAGTACTTTAATACACTTTCCTAATCTTAATACACTTTCCAATGTTGGAGGGATACTTTGGACAGGCATCTGCAGGCATTTAAAACATGGATAGTCACTGCCTTCAGCGGATAAGCTGGAAAATTCTGAAGAATCAGAAAGGTTGTCATTTGCCAGAATGACTCTTGTAACCATGGTAACTGGATCCGAGCACTGAAGAAGTCAGTAACAGTCAAGGCCATGAGCAGATGTCCTGGAGTCAGCTTAGCCACTTGACTCTTGTAACCATGGTAACTGGACCACAGTTGCACTGAAGTCAGTAACAGACAAGGCCATGAGGAGATGTCCTGGAGTCAGCTGGCCACGTGACTCTTGTAACCATGGTAACTGGACCACAGTTGCGCTGAAGTCAGTAACAGTCAAGGCCATGAGGAGATGTCCTGGAGTCAGCTTGGCCACTTGACTCTTGTAACCATGGTAACTGGATGCCAGTGGTGCTGAAGTCAGTAATAGTTTGTGCATGAAGGAATGTCCTGGAGTCAGCTCGGCCAACTTGACTCTTGTAACCATGGTAACTGGATCCCAGCAGGGATGAAGTCAGTAACAGTCAAGGTCCATGAGTGAATGTCCTGGGGTCAACTTGGCCAGCACACTTGAGAAGATGGAGGGGTCGGTCAGACTTTGACAAGATTCCTCAAGCTGTGCTTTACACTGGATGTGAAAACTGGCATCTGAAAATATATCCAACCCCGAAAAACGTTACCATGTTAAAAATAAAATGGGTCCAAAATTCTTATTGCTACATAAGGCCCTAGGGATGTACACTGTCTTTGTAAATATTAAGTCTCCTTTTAAACATTGCCATTGGCACTTGGAGGGTATTTTGATCTTGTAATGATATTGCTTGATAGGATTGACAGTCATACCAAGACTCTCCTAAATGGGGTTATACAGCTATAAGTTTTGCCAGGTATTACCTGACACAGTCAGCAAAAGTGATGGCTCATCCAGGATCTTGTTGAGGATGGAGGCACCGAGTTTCAGGTGGCGCTGGTTGACATGCTTGTCGATGTTCTTGGCAACACCTAGCAATGTCTTCTGGACGACACTGGGTGCCACTTGGGATCTGTGCACAAACAAAAAAACATTTTTCAACACTCCCCCTTTCAATTTGTTTGCTGTTTGATGTAGTTGATTAAAATCAACAGCTGAAGAACATGATTAAGAGACACAATGCTACAGAAGAGAAAAGTATGAGCTATGAACAAAACTGTGCAATATCCTGAACAGAGTTGTCTCCCTTACTCATGCCAGGATCTAATAAGTGTATCCCACTGCATCAATAACAGAGACGTACATGTATCTTAATGTAGCAACAAGTCAAAGGAAATCAACAATGGGAAGGCTGTGTGTTGCATTACCTACAAACCATGATTAACCAACTATCGTCATATCAAAAATACTTTACTTTTCAGGTGTGATTTAATTTATTTTGAGTGTAATTTTATAAATACCTGTATCTCACTGCATCAATCAGACTGATAACAATGTTCGGGTCAAAATCCATCATTGTCAACTCCGGTTTGTACTTAGACAAGAAGAATCGGTGCAGGGCAGCTGACAGCTTCCCAGTTTTCAGCATGTCTGCCACCGGCTTCTCTATAGACGTGTACGCTTCCTTGTCCTCATCCATGAAGGCTAGGGAGCACACTCGGCACACAATCTGGAACAGTCAGTGAGTGAGTGAGTGTGAGTAGGGTGGGTGAGTGTGTGAGTGAGTAGGGTGGGTGAGTGTGTGAGTGAGTAGAGTGGGTGGGTGAGTGTGTGAGTGAGTGAGGGTGGGTGGCGTGAGTAGGATGGGTGTGTGAATGAGTGAGTAGGGTGGGTGGCGTGAGTGTAGGGCATGTGAGTGAGTAGGGTGGGTGAGTAGGGTGGGTGAGTGAGTGAGAGGGTGAGTGAGTGGTAGGGTGTGAGTGAGTGGGTGGTAGGGTGTGTGTGAGTGAGTGAGTGAGTAGGGTGTGTGTGTGAGTGAGTAGGATGGGTGTGTGAGTGAGTGAGTAGGGTGTGTGAGTGTGTGAGTAGGGGTGGGTGTGTGAGTGTGTGTGTAGGGCATGTGAGTGAGTAGGGTGGGTGAGTGAGTGAGTGAATAGGGTGGGTGAGAGTGTGAGTGAGTAGGGTGTGTGTGTGAATGAGTGAGTAAGGGTGGGTGAGTGTGTGAGTGAGTAGGGTGTGAGTGAGTGTGTGAGGGTATGAGTGTGAGGTGGGTGAGTGAGTAGGGTGTGTGTGAGGTGAGTGTGAGTGAGTAGGGTGGGTGAGTGTGAGTGAGTGAGTGAGTGAGTAGGGGGTGGGTGAGTGAGTGAGTAGGGTGGGTGAGTGAGTGAGCGAGTGTAGTTTTATGCCGCAGTCAGCAATATTCCACCTATATAGCGGCGTACTGTAAATCTAGTGTGAGTGAGTGACTAAGTGTCATACTGATTACATAAAGAAGGTCAAGTCAACACTTCAGTTAAAAAGACATAGAGCAGCTTCATACTGTGAGCGAACAAGTGAGTATGGTTTTATGCTGATTTTAGCAAAATACCAGCAATATCAGGGCACTGGGCTACCCCATTCCTCTAACAAGGAATGAGGCATTCTGGATGAGTGTGCAACACTGTATGACATGGTATGGGTTTAGTGGCAGTCAGCAATATTCCAGCTGGAAGGGACAAAACCTAGGTCTGATTTTATGAGCTAGATGAAATCAGTGAGTGAGTGTGTGTATCTATCATGTTTAAATCAGTCAACCAGTGTTTTTAGTTGATGCCTGAATGGCAACTGAATACATGCTGTCATGCATGCTAAATGGGTTCTTGGGTTCCTTTAACTCACAGTTCTATAAATATCAGGTGCATGTGTCTGCATGTATTTACACAGACAGTCAGTACCACAAGAATCTTAGTGAGGAGACGTTTAAAAGCCAGCCCTTCTGGCTGCTAGTGAGTGAGTGAGTGAGTTTAGTTTTACGCTGCACTCAGCATTAATCCAGCTAAATGGCGGCAGTCTGCAAATAATCAAGTCTGGACCAGACAACCCAGTGATCAACAGCATGAGCATCAATCTACGCAATTGGGATACGATGACATGTGTCAACCAAGTCAGGGAGCCTGACCACCCGATCCCGTTAGTCGCCTCTTACGACAAGCATGGGTTACTGACGATCAATTCTAACCCGGATCCTCACGGGTCTGAAATCAGCCCCACCACATGAATCATGTAGTCGCTAGACAGACAAGCACAGGTTGCTGAGGACCTATTCTAAACTGGAACCTGCATCCCATTCTGCTTTCCTCCGACATTAAGCTGGCACACCTTCACATTAAGTTGAATAAATGTTAATCCAGGTACTAGGACATGGGACACCAATGCTGATCCATGGAAACCACTAATGGCAATAGATTAAAACTTAGAAGTATAAATATGTTACAATTTCAGGAAAAAATGTATCTTATTTTCATTCATGAGTACCAACCTGAGTTTTGACAAGCCTGTTAAGAAACTGAATATCTGCAGCAGAGTAGTCGATCACTTCCTCCTCCTCTTCCTCTGAGATGTCATCCCCCACTCCGAACTTCCCCTCTCCCCCAGCGCCCATGCTCCGCACCAAACCACTGTCAATCTGACCCAGTTCACTGAACAAAGACACACCATTTTGAGAGTCCTGGCCATTGAAGGTGGAAGTGACAACATCAGGTCGACAACCCTTCCCAACCTCTACATCACCGTCATCAACCTCTACATCACCGTTATCACAGATACCATTGTTTTGCACATGTTTCAAGTCACCATTTTCTTGTCCATCATTCATTCCTCTAACAATATTCTTGGTTGTGCAGGAGCCATTTTCAGCTTGAGAATTGTCACTGCCGGAACGTTCTTTTACTGTCTCGTCGACCTCCATGTTTGGATTGGATGGTGATAAATTCCTTTCGGTCGTATCACCTTCTGTGGATTCGTCAGAGGTCGAGTCATACACACCAGGACCTTGGAGGTCAACGAAAGATACTCTCCTCTCATTGGATCGCAGGTTCTCATACGACCTTGACTTCTTGAGTATTCCATCAACAGGCTCCCCATCTGATGTCTCATCATCACTTTCATCACCTGTGTTACTCTCCAGCCACAAAGTCTGCTTTTGTCTGAGGAAAGATAAAATATATATTTCCCTGTTAAACCAGCTGAATACGTTTGTTTGTTTGTTACACACTGAATCAACAATATTACAGCTGTATCTCAGAGATCTATAAATAATCAAGTCAGAGTGAGTGAGTGAGTTCAGTTTTACACCGCTTTTAGCAATATTCCAGCAATATAATGGCAAGGGACACTAGAATGGGCTTCACACATTGTACCCATGTGGGGAATAGAACCCGGGTCTTTGGCATAACGAGCGAACGCTTTAACCACTAGGCTAACCCACAGCCCCTAATCAAGCCAGAGCTGGGAAAGCATGCTTGATATCATGAGCAACAATTCACAGGGATAGTCACCAGACATACCAGTGACTAAGAGCAGCAGTAAACTCCATAGACCATCACAATGCCTGACCATTTGATCTCAATTGTTTGTCAGAAGGTACAAGAACTTGAGACATTGTCTGACCAAGGGGGCGGTGGGGTAGTCTAGTGGTTAAAGCGTTGGCTCGTCATGCCGAAGACCCGGGTTCAATCCCCACATGGGTACAATGAGTGAAGCCCATTTCTGGTGTCCCCCGCTGTGATATTGCTGGAATATTGCTAAAAGCGGCGTAAAACCAAACTCAGTCAGTTAGTCAGTCAGTCTGACCAAGGGTCTCCATGGGTTTTGACCTACCACAGCCATCTGAACTTTTAACCTCTGAAGGTCGTTCTTGACCTTGACTTACTTCAACTGCTCCAGTCTGGCCATCACATACAGGAACCTTCGACCCTCCATGGTCACACTAAGGTCAGAGGTGAAGATCTTCATGGCCATGTGTATGACCCCTGTGGCACTGAGTTGCATGTAGTCCAGGAGACCTGCCAGTTTTTCCACACCCTGCACCAGCTTCTGCTTGCTACTTCGCTCTGAAACACACAATGAATTATAAATGCAATGTAACACACAGAAGACACACATTGTCTGCCCCACAATCCCTGAGTCCCTGAACCATATTCCCCACAGCCATTTCTATCGGGTGGTCAGGCTCGCTGACTTGGTTGACACGTCATCGTTCCCCAATTGCCTAGATCGATGTTCATGCTGTTGATCACTGGATTGTCTGGTCCAAACTCGATTATTTACAGACCGCTGCCACATAGTTGGAATATTGCTGAGTATGGCGTTAAACAACAACCAACCAACCTAAATTAAGCAAGTCCAAATTTTCTCAGGTTCAGGTTCTGAATTTCCCCTCTCACTGTGTTGCCTTTCCTATTTCAGTGAACCGCCTCCGTGGTGTAGAGGTTAGAGCGTCCGCCCGGAGAGCGGAAGGTCGTGGGTTCGATCCCCGACCGCGTCATACCAAAAGACGTTAAAATATGGTACTTGTTGGTCCCTGCCTGGCGCTCGGCATTAATGGGTACAACAAGGACTGGTCGGCTCGGAGTCAGTATACTGTGTCTGAGTGGGGTATTCATGCTTCACTGCAGCATGGTATCTCAGTGGGCTAGCACTATAAAACCAGCTTAAGTCTGGGCTAGTACAAGCAGCCGCACATACACATACACACACATGCAAGTCGTCATATGAGCCAAATATTCTCAAGTACGACGTAAAACCCAATTTCACCTCACCTATTTCAGTGAAATTATTTGTTGTCATAATTAGATATCTTCAGAGACTAAGCATTACACACAATGGCAGATAAAATATGTATCAATGAATGCAGTCTGGGCAAATAACATTTTAATGTTGCTGTAAGTAGTACCAACTTCTTTTAAAGATATGTTGTGTTTCCTAAAACACATATCTTACCCAAACACCTAGCTGCCATAGAAGTGTATCAGGTCAGAAGGCCTACCTCTATCTATGATGCTGTTGACCTGCTCAAACACCATATTACAGAGGCTGGCGAGGGTGCGACAGCCGGACTGGGTGACAAACAGCGAGTGTGTATGGTGCTTCATGGCTCGTAGAATCAACTCAATGGCCGTCTCCCTCAATGGGGCCTGAAGCAGACACTATAATATCAGGGTATGAAACTCTCAACAATTTCAGCCAGGCCACAGGGCTGATTAGATGTAAAACTTGCCAGCCCTGACCAAAACTTACCTGCCCACAAAATATCTTCATATACATGCCTAAATTTTAACCCAACGGTCAGACAGGTGAATTTGAGAATCTGGCAGTCTGTGTCGAAAATAACCCGTCCTGGTCGGTCGGGCAGGCAGGTATTTCGAATGCTGATAATATATATCTCAAGGATATGACAAAGTAATCATATTATCTATACATCTTTTGATAAAACCAAAGTATACAAAGCTAAAACTTTTAAAATGTACTCTATACTTCGACCAAAGCTACAAAAGTATGCTTAGTTTCATATAAAGTAAACTGAACTTTGCCAACATACCAATTAGTGTTTTTAGGTCCACACCTCATTTCTTAGGTTTGCAGTCCCCCAAAAGTGTCTTTCATAAACATAGTTTTCCACTTCAAAGCTGAGCACTAGGCAAGGTAACAACAAGTAGCATCTTTAAACACTTTCAGAGAGCCCAGCACAATGTAAGTCTGAGATATTTACAACTTGGGTGCAAAACACGATCTCTGGTTTCGTACAGACAGATGAAGGATTCATGATAGAGCCAAAGCTGAGATTCCGACAGCTTATCTCAGCACAGCGGAGGGAGATGGTGGAAGTTACCTTTTCATCAATTGATGGAGTGTATGTTGCAACCTTACACAGGATGTCGATCCCATTTTGCTGAACCTCAACTTCATCCACATAGACAGACATTGAACCCAAAATGGCTGCTGTTGCTTGGCAACCAATGAAGGTTGCTAGGTTACTTGGCACATGGCTCAAAGGCTCTTAGAAGTTTCAGACACAAAGCCACATGAGACACAGGGTCCTGAAAAAGTCAACATCTTAAAAAAAGAGGAAATTCTTGATACATGAAACATTATTTGCTCAAACATCTTTGAGTGAAATGAATTGTAGGCGATGTCATCCATTTATCTCAGAAAACAGTGTTCACAGTAAACCTTTTTTATAACAAACAGTTATAACAAACACAGTTATAACAAACACTATATCTTCACGATGAATTCATATTTTAAACTACAATAATGGACTAAAATTAGTGGTCCTTTTGAGTTTATGATAACCATAATTTATTACAACTAAATTTTATATATATATTTTTTTTATATATTTTAAATTTGATAATTGGGGGTCAGATTCATTTGTTAATTTGTACCAGAATCTTTCATATTACAATAGACAATTTGTCATTCCATGATGGATTAACTTCATTAATATGAAGGAATTGTGCAGTCCTTAAGTTGTTTTAGTAGTACAGTTTCAACACATGTTTATAAAACACCATTAATAGTTTGATCATAAACAAGATGACCATCAAAGAAATTTAATTTTGCCACCAAAATTTCATTTGTTGAACAATGTGACAAATAGCAAAAGGTTGAACCTACAAGGAACTGCTTGAGTATTTCCACGAGGAGATGGATTATAGGGGCATGCAGTGGTCTCCCCTTGTCCGTCTCCGGTGTGGCCTGACTCTGCCGGGCCATCTCCAACAAGAAATTCTGGAGAATGTCTCTTCTGTGTGTCCCAACATCCTGAAACAGGTAACATGGTGAATACAGATAGACACTATGGTGAATACAGATAGACACTAGATAGACACTATGGTGAATACAGATAGACACTATGGTGAATACAGATAGACACTATGGTGAATACAGATAGACACTATGGTGAATACAGATAGACACTAGATAGACACTATGGTGAATACAGATAGACACTATGGTGAATACAGATAGATACTGGTGAATACATAGAGATTAGACACTAGACAGACACAATGGTGCCATACAGATACTTATCACAGATAGAACTATGATGAGTGGTGACAGATAGAAAAGACAGACCATGGTCCAGATCCACAAAGACATTGAATAATGATACGACACTATGGTGAATACAGTAACTGTATAGTTACCATAGACTTATGAATATCTTAATACAGCTTACTATGGTGAACACGTAGATAACTGTATAGTTTACAGATAGACTTAGATGAATATCTTAGATGCTAGATAGACCTATGGTAATACTGTATAGTTTACCATAGACTTATGAATATCTTAACGCCATTGTGAATACATAGTCGTTAACTGTATAGTTTACCATAGACTTATGAATATCTTAACGCCAGATCCACAAAGCTGTCGTAACTGTATAGTTTACCATAGACTTATGAATATCTTAACGCTTCACGACCTGTCGTAACTGTATAGTTTACCATAGACTTATGAATATCTTAACGCTTCGACCTGTCGTAACTGTATAGTGTACCATAGACTTATGAATATCTTAGCGCTCGACCTGTCGACTGTATAGTTTACTGTATAGTTTACCATAGACTTATGAATATCTTACCATAGCTTACGAATATCATGTCGTGAATAACTGTATAGTTTTACCATAGACTTATGAATATCTTAATGCTACGACCTGTCGTAACTGTATAGTTTACCATAGACTTATGAATATCTTAATGCTACGACATGTCGTCGTAACTGTATAGTTTACATATAGACTTATGAATATCATAATGCTACTGACCTGTAAGTAACTGTATAGTTTACCATAGACTTATGAATATCTTAACGCTACGACCTGTCGTAACTGTATAGTTTACCATAGACTTATGAATATCTTAACGCTACGACATGTCGTAACTGTATAGTTTACCATAGACTTATGAATATCTTAATGCTACGACCTGTCGTAACTGTATAGTTTACCATAGACTTATGAATATCTTAATGCTACGACCTGTCGTAACTGTATAGTTTACCATAGACTTATGAATATCTTAACGCTACGAATGCTTTGTGGATCCCAGTTTTCTAATCAAGAAACCCTGAAAAGGTCTACAAGGTTTAATGGGCTGTACGACTGATTCAAAATCCAGTCTACCTCTTACTTCAGTGGGATAAATATTTAAACAGAAAGTCTTTTCATGGCGCGTGGCAAGTACTATCATACAATTTCGGCCATCTATTAGACATTTCAGGATGTACTAGCAGCGAGACGTCAAAGTTTGAATACAGAACTTTGTCCAAATATTTTTCAGTGTAGTCTGGGGTGGAAACTGCTAGTTTGAAACTGGTACCAAAATGCTTTTGAAGGCAGCATTCTGTTTGACTGCTACTTGATAATCATTTCAATGGTCTGCCAAAGTTCATGAAACATCATTTTGACTTGACATGACCTGTAGTAAGAAGTCCTTCGATCTTTGTGAAGTGATAGCAATCACTAAGATCTGACTTTAATGATATTGACAATATGTTGTCTGACATCTCGAATGTGCTGCCTACCTGCAGCATCCTGAACACCTGATCAAGGAGTGACGTTGTCATCCGTGTGTCCGTGAACTCATGGATCTGTTTGTTGATACAGCCAGCAGCCAAGCTGGATAACTGAAACATGAGGGAGTGACAGAGTGTTACACATGGGAAGTACTTGAGTTTGTATGTTACTAGAACGAAGTTGTATCTCAAATATATCAATACGTTCCACTGTAAAATGTTCTTCACATTTTATAATGTTGATGCGTGCACTTCAAAATATAATTAGTGAGTGAGTGAGTTCAGTTTTACGCTGCTTTCAGCAATATTCCAGTCATATCATGGCGGGGAACACCAGAATGGCCTTCACACATTGTGCCCATGTGTGGAATTGAACCTGGGACTTTGGTGTGATAAGCGAACACTTTAACCACTAGGTTACCCCACCGCCCATCCAGAACATTAATATCACCTGACTAGTCAAAACTAGCGGACACTTTAACCACCGCCCCTAAAACATAATTAAAGTAAATACACATGGACTTTCGAAGGCCAAAGGACTTGTGAAGGGCCATTTGAATACATTTTAAGGGCTGAATACATTCAAAAATGATTTTTAAAAAAGCCTATGAAACACTATCAAACAGTTATACCAGGCAATAGAGAAAAGGTGAGTGTAACCTTCCCCTACCAGGAGCAACCATCACAAACGCATGCAAAGGCAAGTCAACAACTCAATGAGTGTGTGTGAGTGAGTGAGTGAGTTTAGTTTTATGCCGCTTTTAGCAATATTCCAGCAATATCATGGCAGAGGCCACCAGAAATGTGCTTCACACATTGTACCCATGTGGATAATCGAACCTGGGTCTTAGGCATGACGAGCGACTGCCTTAACCACTAGGCTATCCCACCACCCCCAACTATTCAAAAACACAGGAATATATGGTACAAGTAAAAACACAAGAGGCTATGTTTTTTTACTAAAACATCAAATTTGGAAATGACCTTCTGACACATTAAACCTTTTTGACTGCTTTACTGAGGCAATGATTGTATTAACCTTGTGCATTGATCAAACAACGTTTTGAGTGGTAGTTGTAAATCTTTGAAACATTGATGCAAAGAGCAAGCTGCCTTATTTTTGTATTAACAAATGCAACTGTATATTATGAGAAAAAATTAACTAAGGCCAGACCAATTTTATTTCTTATTTTACAGATCCACCGGTCATATTTTTTCAAGAATAAGAAAAAAAATATATTTTACACGCTCAAAAAATAAAATCCTCGTGTTTTTATTGGCCAAAAATGTAAACTTACAAAAAAAAATGTTTTGATTGTTTTTTCCCCATATACACTTCATAAATTGCCAAAAATAAAATACTTTTAGCATTTAAAAGGAATATTACTTTGACTGGTGATTTTTATTTTTTCGTTTTGTCCCCTCCTGCCCTTTAAGCTTTCTGAGGACAAAAATCCGTAAACCAGAAATAAAATTGGTCTGGCCTAGTGACTAATCCATAATCTCTCCAATGCTTTTCATTTTGTATTTATATAAATAATATTAATGATGAATAACACACACAAACCAGCCACTGCTCAAAATGTGTGTTTCAATTACTCTAAACATTGCAGGCAGTACATTGTGACGTTTGTTTAATGATTCCATATAGGTAGTCAGTGTATGGAGGTCATCTGGTTGCATTTCAATGATGTGTCGTGCAAGCTTCGCTTCACAACTTGTTGCCACTCTTGAAAATACTTTATAAGTCACTTTAGATATTTATATGAGTCACTTTTCTACGGAAACAAAGTTTAATAACAATAGCTGAGGAAAGGTCAAGGTGACCTGGATTTTTATGAGCTTGCCTCAGTAGGACTATTCTTTTCACACTGAGGCACACATTTCCACAGCGGAACGGAAACTTGAGAGAAGAAAATATTTTATTATTTCACGTTGGAATGAAAATTCAGGGTAGGCGGGAGATGGGAAACAAAGAAGAAACAGACTAACATTTGCAATAATGACATGGATTGGAATTTTTTGTATCAGTTTGGGAATTTTAGGCAGACTTGAGGCCAAATATCTGCAGCTGAGCAAGTCTTAGAGGTAAATCCACAATAATACAATATTTTCTTCTGATAGAGTATAGGTTATAAACGCTTTTCACAATATCCAAGCAATGTGACAGCTGGGGAGATATTGAACCTTGGTCTTCAGCATGATAAACATTTGTTATAACAGCTGGACTTCTGCACCACTCCTGTTCTTGTGAAGTATAATGTCTTGAATATCCAGTACAGATAAACTATTTTGTTGTTCAGAATTTGCTATCGTCTAATTGTTTAATGGTTGCTTGGGTTGTTTTTGTTTTGGTCATTATTGTTTAACACTGCACTCCACAACATACCAGCTAGTTGGTGGCAGTCTGTAAATATTCATATCTGGACCAGACAATCCAGTGATGCATATCATGACCATGACCCAATAGGATACAATGAGATGGGTTAATCTAGTCACCAAGCCTGACCAGAAGATCCTGTTAATTTCAACAAACATACGTTAATGAAGACCAATTCTGACATGGATCTGCATTTGCATTTGCAGCTCTAGTGAGTGAGTGAGTGAGTGTGTGAGTCAGTGAGTGAGTGAGTTTAGTTTTATGCCGCACTCAGCAATATTCCAGCTATATGGCGGCGATCAACAGCATGAGCATTGATCTACACAATTGGGATACGATGACATGTGCCAACCAAGCCAGCAAGCCTGACCACCCGATCCCATTAGCTGCCTCTTACGACAAGCATGGGTTACTGAAATATCAATTCTAACCGAATCTTCACGGGGCTCACCAAGAATGACTACAAGATCATGTTAATTTCCCCTTACAACAAACATACATTGCTGAAGACATGTCAATTCTGACATGGATCAGTGCAGTTCAAGTAGGTGCCCAGGACTGCTGCCAGCAGAGATGATAAATCATGTCAATGGCTTTGGATGGTTTTCATAATAAAACATTGTAATAAACATATCACATATATTCCTGTACTTTAAGAAAAGATGGCCAGCTATACTGTGGCAAGATGATGAAGAAATCCAAGCTACACACCTCATCACTGGTGTTGAGTTTGTTGATCAACTCCTCCTCCATTTCGGGTGGCTCGATATGGCACCAATCACTCTCAGTCTCCTTCTGCGCCGGGGGCTGTACACGTAATACACACATCATCAGTTAGTTAGGTCTACACTCATAAATGTCATCTACAACTCTTCTTATCTCATAGTCTTCCTTCATTGTTTCCTTGATTATTTGGTATTCCAATCATATAACTTTAAATACATAATTCAACATGAGCGGACTCTAGTGTCAAGATAATATGACCCTACCATTTTTTCATGATTTTTTTCAATATTTTTCCAGTTTTAAGTCAAGTGTCATTTATTTTTCTAAAGTAAATTAATACAAACATAATAAGTGTATATTACGTTTAAGTCTTTCATTATGCGATTTTACACTTTTTTTTAACCAAAAATGGGATGAAATGTGTGATGTCAGTCCTTTTGAATTCCTACACAAAGTTAAGGAAATTGAAAAGCCACATAAATAAGCACTCCAAAACTGCTTATAGCAATTCTTTTTCAGCAGGTATGTTATCTGTTATGTACTGACCATTTCACCTAGTATAAATATAGAAGGGGTAATTGGTCATCACATCAATATGCATGCACGCACCCACACACGCACGTATGCACACACACAAAATAAAAAAGGAATTCCTGGCATCCAGCTCTAAGAGTGTTTTTCATTTTACAAATACCAACCTCTGGTTTCTGGAGACATCCCATTTCTGGTGGGTTTGGGGGGTGGTGTTGCCCTGACATGTACCCCCGGAGTAGGGGGTAGGTGGCGTCGAGGACGGGGCACAGGTCCCTCCATGTACTGAATGACCTTATCACCAATCTCTATCTGCACACCTGAAAGAAGAACATCATACCTGTTACCAAGGTAACCATAGGTCATGACATAATGACTCTTGTAACACCTGCCATCCTAACATACAGTGGAAACCTGATAGGTAAAATTTCAAGGGACTCGCCAAAATTGTTTACTTAGCAGGTATTTTACTTATCCAAACTTATAAAAACCTGCAAATGACAACCATATGCATGTATATAGAATAGAATAGAATAGAATAGAATAGAAGAATAGAATAATACTTTAATGCCTTTTCAGGAATTTGTGTTACATCAGCAGAGCTACTGACACATTAGAGAGATATCAAACATATTTACATAAATTCTTTGATTTAGGTATCTTCACATTTGTTTAAGAGAGATATGGTACTTGGAATAAAGGATGTACAGGCTCTCTTAGTTTTCACAATTGGAACTTTGTAGCGGCGGCCTGAAGGGAGGAGGTTGTATTCCAAATTTAAGTAGTGAGTACGGTCAGATATGATTTTGACAGCTTGATTCACGATTTGCCGCTCATGTATGCATATGTAACAATGAACAACTTATCAGGGATGGCTCCAGTTGTCAGTGTATTGTCAACTGCTTGGCGCCAGCGAGCTGTAAGTAGGATGTTTGTTTGACTCGAGACTGACACAACTGCCCCTCATGTCGGATTATGTGGTGATCGCTAATTTAGTTATCCAGTCTCTTTTGTTAAGTAATTTACTTCCAGGGACCGTGAAACTAATAAACGGCTATCATAATCAAAACATAAGACCAAATCTAAGAGTTTTTTGCAGAATTTATGAACCTTCAGTAACCCATGCTTGTCGTAAGAGGCGACTAAGGGGATCGGGTGGTCAGGCTTGCTGACTTGGTTGACACATGTCATCGTATCCCAATTGCTCAGGTCGATGCTCATGCTGTTGATCACTGGATTGTCTGGTCCAGACTCGATTATTTACAGACCGCCGCCATATAGCTGGAATATTGCTGAGTGCGGTGTAAAACTAAACTCACTCACTCACTTGTTACGAGGGAGTGGTACAAAGAGAGGAACAGCCAGGTATGCGAGAAAGGATGGAGACGGCACAGCACAGGTAAATGACTCAATAAGTTTGCTGGCACTTGTGCCCGTGCCTCATACACTTGGCTATTCCTCTCTTTGCACTCCCTCGTAACAAAAAGTGAATTGTGTCAAAACTCACAGAGTTGGTCTGATGTTTTGATTATGATCTGCGTTTCATTGAGTACTATAAGTTAATTAGTTTTCTGAGTTAGATTGCAGTTCATCGGTCCGCTTTTGAGCCAAATGGACTATAGACTCCAAATTGCTGTATTAGTTTTCTTAATCCAAGTTCGCACCAGTTATGTTTGGAGGTTTGTCACCGCCATACCGATGCTCGTGGTTTTCACCAAAGTTTTAAACACGTGAGACATGAATTACTTCAGACTTCTCTTTGCTTGAATTTTTGTTTAGTCATTGCTTCAAAACATATAAAACGTTACTCATGACAAAATTACATCACGTCAGCTTTAACAGCATCCACTGTGTTTAGTGAACAACTGTCCTCGTGTAAATTTTGAGGAACAGTTTACTTTAACAAATTAACATGCCCAGTACGCCCAGCTACCCTGCTAGAATACAAAAAGGTCCATAACAATGTGAACACGCTCACTTACCACTAACAAGATTAGTCTCAGAAATCACTTCTTCATTGTTGATGGTGCAGACAAGGTCACGGTTCACTGGGGTCAAGGTGACACCTTCTGTTGGCCATATCGTCAACTTGAACAAAGGGACGCAAATCTCCTGGCACCTCTTGTTGTCAGTCTTGCAGGAAAATACCTGGTCCTCTGCAGTTAAACCTGAAAAAAAAAGCGTTTAATATGAATTTTAAAGAATGATAAATCTTGAATAGGTGTATTAACAAAATTCAAATATGATGTTGTAATTGAAGCCATTATTGAAATATAATCTGAAAATGTCGTTTTGAGACTTATTAAGACGTTTCAAATCACAAATTCCCCCTGAATCAGTTTATTGGTTTGTAAGCGTCAATGCATCATTGTATGCAAGACCAACGTCATTCTGAGCTTTCGTACCACAACATAAGAAAACTGAAGTACGGTTGAATGTTCTTTGTTTGCCGTTTAACTCCACACTCAGCAATATTCATAGTAAATGGCGGTGGTCTGTAAATAACAGAGTCTGGACCTGACAATCCAGTGACCAACAGCATGAGCATCGATCTACATTATTGGCATACGATGACATGTGTCAACCAAGTCAGCAAGTCTGACCACCCAAACCCGTTAGTAGCCTCTCATGACTAGCATGGGTTGCTAGACCCTATGTTTGTTAAACATGTTAAACAAACCGGGGCGGTTGGGTAGCCCAGTGGTTAAAGCGTTGGCTCGTCACGCTGAAGACCCGGGTTCGATTCCCCACATGGGCACAATGTGTTAAGCCCATTTCTGGTGTCCCCCGCCGTGATGTTGCTGGAATATTGCTAAAAGTGGCGTAAAACTAAACTCAGTCAGTCAGTCAGTTAAACAAACTTAGTTGGCACCACTGGTGGGATGATGTGTTCGTGTTTTAGTTTTACTGGACATACAGAAGTAATACCAGAAATGTTCTTAACACACAGTATGGTGAGCTTCAGAGTGAGTGAGTGAGTGAATTTAGTTTTACGACGCTTTTAGCAATATTCCAGCCATATCATGGCGGGGGGACACCAGAAATGGGCTTCATACATTGTACCCATGAGGGGAATTGAACCCTGGTCTTCGGTATGACGAGCGATCGCTTTAGCCACCAGGCTACCCTACCACCCGGTGAGCTTCAGAGATAATCTGTGTTTACATTTTTAAAACACCTACCAAGAAGACATATAGTATCAATTTTTGTAAATAAAGGCTGTGTGATTTACGTTGACAAATAATAAGTTAAATACCCTCGGAACTTGATGTTTTTCAATTAATAACAAGTAGAAAATGTGTCAGTCATCATGACTAGCCTTGTGTTCAATATATATCCTTGTTCATAACTTAACACCAACAAAGTTACTCAAAATCTTCCTTCCTTCCTACTGATCTCACGCAAGTCATTTCCTTCAGATAAGTACAGCACGGCCATGAAGACTAGACTGGAGCCAGTCGCTATGTCATTAAAGTTATGAATGAACAAATCTTAAATTCTCCAGTTTTGTCATACAATTACCCAACAGCACATAGACCGTCTTACAGATTAGAGCGTTTAACATTAAGCATGAAAGACAAGAGTAAGTATGGCTTTACTTCGGTTCATCACAATAAAAACTAATGAAGATCCAGGCAGAAACTGATCTTCAGCAACTTATGCTTGTCAAAATAGGTGACTAACGGGATCGGGTAGTCAGGCTCATGGATGCTCATGATGTTGATCACTAGATTGTCTGGTCCGGATTTGATTACTTACAGATCACTGTCATATAGCTGCAAGATTGCTGAATGCAGCATTAAACAACATACAAACAAAAACCAAAGACCTGGGTTCGATTCACTACATATGTACAATGTGTGAAGCCCATTTTGTAGTGTTGTTGATTGAATATTGCTCAAGGTGGTGTGAAACCAAACTCATTCATTCATTCTTTATTCAATCACTCACTCAACTGGTGTGTCAGGGTTCTGATTCTAATGAGTACAGTTCAGCTGTCACTACGTCAAGACATCCAATAATTCTGAACTATTAAACCCGAGGCTCAGGTTCAGACTTGACATGCCATGCACATGAAACCTGCCTCCCACACTTCCCAGTCCTAAATCTATACAAACATAAACATGTATTGATTCTACCTTCCTGGTCTTGTTGACACTGACATCTGTGGTAAAAGCATGTCACGTATATCACCATTACTGTCCCACACAACTGTATTAGCCACCTATCACTTTCCCTGTCATGAGCTAACAGCCAGCTGTCTGTTCCACAAAACGATTGTAGTGCTCTTAGGTATCATAACTCCCATGTTAAATTTATAGGTTTATTGCTTGCCGTAGACAGGCTTCTCTCTCACAGTGAACTGCCAAGCCCAAATTAATTGTCATAACTTCCACATTTTAAGTTGAACTTGCCCAGTCATAGTGATAAGATAGCAGTACTGAAATAGAGCTGACTTCCAAACATTAATATGAAAAAAAATGGTGAAAAGAAGCTAATTTGGTATATAATTACTGCAAGTAACCATATTTTCTAGGAATATTGAAATTTGGACACTATTCACAGTCACAGTCTACCCGTGAAGATTCGGGTTACAATTAGTCTTCAGCAATCAGGAATCTAGTACCTTTGTTGGGTTGAGACCCACCAGGGTTTTGAACCCACACCTCAGAGTCAACCCAATGGGACTCAACCCTACAAAAGTACTAGAATCTGTACTTCACTGAGAAAGTGTAATCCCAAACATAACATGTGTTTTTACATGGCAGCCTTGCTTAAAATCAACCTCTGAAGAGGAAATAATATTTTTAGACTGAAATTATTAAGATCATACAACTGTTTAACAGAAAAATACTTTTCTATGATTATAGAATAATAATAGGTTCACAGGCAATTCTTATTGACAATATTAACAAAATGTCACCTTACAAAACCCGTGGTTTCAGAGATGTCAACAATTTGGCACCCCAAGATGGAAGTCAGCATGTGAGAGACCCAAGGTCACATATGTAAATATTTTATTTCTGGAAACAAGGGCGTGACCTCCATTTCAAAGGGTAAAGGCCTTGACATCTGTACAATGTTTGCATACATGTTCGGCAGTAAGGAGGTGCTGGAGACATTTTCGACGACGTTTAGCCACTTTAATGGTATAAACATGCTGTGTTGCGGAGAAATCAGCTGCTAATACAATGACAAGGCTACTTGAACCAAGACGTCATGGAGAGCTCTGTGTGATGCTATCAAGGGTTTACAGTGTGGCATATTGATTGTATAATGAAGGTCAAGTCAACCCTTAACAAGCATTGTCACTAAGGTGACATAATCCCCCACCGCAAATTATCAAATCAAACCTAAAAAGTGATGATAGTTTAAGATGAAGTTAAATGTCAACAAAAACATGACCAGTCAACAACCTCTCTTGATATCTTGCTCTTTAGTGAGAGAGTGAGATTAGTTTTACGCCGCACTCAGCAATATTCCAGCTATATGGCGGCGGTCTGTAAATAATCGAGTCTGGACCCGACAATCCAGTGATCAACAGCATGAGCATCGATCTGCGCAATTGGGAACCGATGACATGTGTCAACCATGCCCCCCAATCCCGTTAGTCGCCTCTTACGACAAGCATGGGTTACTGAAGGGTCATTCTAACCCGGACCTTCACGGGTATGCTCTTTAGTTGTTCAAACACACAAATATTTTCAAGACTGACTCTGACCTTGACATGAATGTCATAGTGTATGAAATATGCAAAAATGGTACTAAAGAAACTGCTTATTGAAAAAACATTCAAGGGAATTCTTGAAAGTCTATGAAGAAAATCCAGTGAATTTAGGTTAACATGCTGAAATCTTCAAAGTGTCGCAGTGACCTTGAAAATTATGTGAAGGTCACCAAAATTAACTGGGCCCTGCGCCTTCATAAGATGAAGCTTGGTGTCAACTATGAAAAAAAAAATCCAGGGAATGTTTTTGAGATATCTTGCTGACTATCTTAACATGCAATTTAACATGCTGAAATGTTTAAAGTGTCTTTGTGACCTTGAAAATTAAATGAAGGTCACCAAGATCAACTGGGTTTTGCACTTTCCCTAGATGAAGCTTGGTGTCAAATATGAAGACAGTCAAGTGAATGGTTCTTGAGATATCTTGTGACCTTGAAATTAAGGTCAAGGTCACCAAGCCTGACTGGGACCTTTCTTATACTGTGATGAATCTAGGTACCAAATATGAAAAGAATCTAGTCAACGGTTCTTAAGATATTCCAATTATTTCCAAGAAAATAGTGTAGCTTCATACTGTGATATACAGTTAAATATCTCACTTGACAACCATTCTCCAAGAACAAAGACAGGGTTGACTGGAGGATAATAGCTTTTCTATTATTTCAGTGCAACTAGGTGCAAAATCAGCCATCCATTTTTTTAAATAACTTTATGATTAAAGTTTCTATTTCTATTGGAAAACAAATTTCTTTAAAATATTTATTTTTTACAATATGTCATGTATAAATGAAAGGAACACCAGCTTCAATAGACAAGTTTACAGTGATGCATTTTCCAGCCAAAACCAGTGTTGTAGCTACAAGATAACACAACAAGCAAGTGGTTATTCTCTAAAACCATCACAAAATAAATGAAATAATCTTTTAAACTTATTAATGTGTGTTTCTTTCAAAGGTTTGTACTTTCATGATGTCTGTAGACTAATGCTTAGTCTCTGAACATACTTTTGATGGAAACAAATAATTCCTTTTACACTGAAAAGGACCCCAGCAAGATGGGGGATTCACAACCTGAGGGGGATATCTAGACTTGCTTCATTTAGGGCTTTATCAGTGCAGAAAGGGCTGGGTGGAAGTTCAAATAATGTGGTTCAGGGACTGAGACAGACTATTATGTCTAGTCAACTTCCAGGCTGGCCAGGGTTGTTGGTGTTGGTTGTGTATCATGGATATTTTTACATTTGTTTTAGCAGTAGTTTTTGGTGATAACTTGGTTTGACCGAATGATCAGACTGTTATAACCTCACATTGTGTTATGCCTAAAATGTGGCAGGTTTATCTTTGAGATATCTCTGTTTTCAATTAATTTTCCATGCCTTCCTGTGTTTTTTCTGTGTTTGACAAGCAATGAGAGTTTATGAACACTGTAACAAGTTTGTTC